TATAATATATGGGGGGGGGTTAGGGGGTTGAACCCCCCCCCCCCTCCTTTGGTATTTTTATGTATGTAAATCCCCCTAAAAAACACCAACCCCCCTCCCCCTTTGGTTTTTTTTTTTTTTTTTTTTAAATTATAAAAAAAAAAAAAAAAAAAAAAATTATGCACATGGCTAACCTAAAAAAGGTGACCTTACCCCCACCCCCCCCCCCCCCAACGAAGAAAATGTCAAATTTTCAAATTTCAAGACCAAAAAAAAAAAAAAAAAAAAGTGTCCTCTTACCTCCCCCCCCCCCCCCCCCCCCCCCTGCCCCCCCCCCCCCCCCCCCCCCGCTTATTCAGCGGCTGACTTAGTCGTTGCGATTTTTTTGGTCTCCAAAAACAAAAAAAAAGTGTCCGCTTACCCCCCCCCCCCCCCCCCCCCCCCCCCACCCCCGCCACTGAGCGACTTTTCGGCCGGCGCGATTTTCAAATTTTCGGGAGCAAAAAAATAAAGCTGAGTCGTTGCGAAATTTTGGGCCCGATTTAAACCCCCCCCCCCCCCCTCCCCTTGAAAAAATCCTGCGTACGCCCCTGACCTCAAGAGCAACCTGAATTGGACAGATCACATAAAGACAACAACAAAGAAAGTCAGCTCTGTCAGTGCATTTTTGCTGCGGAACATTAGGCCTTGCCCAAGAGGGACGAAAGCATTGTGCTTCTTGGCTCTTGCTTGCCCAATCCTGGAGTATGCGTGCACAGTGTGGGATCCTCTCACCCAGGACAACATACACAGGCTGGAAATGGTACAGCTCCGCAACGCCCAGTTTATCACTGGAGATTACCATCATACCAGCAGCATCGCACCAATGCTGCAACATCTCAAATGGCCATCTCTCCGATACGCAGGGCACGGTTTAAGATGGTGATGGTGTACGGAACTGTCAACCTGCACTCAGAGTTTCTCAAAATCTACCTTCTATCGGTGTTAACATCCTACCATGGTCATACCCAGTAATTCCAAATACAATTTACAAGGACTCTCGTATACCAGAAGTCATTCTTCCCCGATTCCATCATGCTTTGGAACTTGCTACCTGCTGGATTTGTCAACTGTACTTTCGCTAAAGCTTTTAAGCAAGAGGTACAAAATTTCCATCTCCGTTAGAAGGGGAAGAAGGATTTTTAACTGCACATAGAATATTATAGAAAGTTTTAAATTCGCACTGTATATTCGCGACACCAGACCTGACGTACGTGATACACCATACGGTGGACTGAAGTGATATCTCAAGATCTGGGGGATGATAATTCGGGCTTTAACAAATTTTGTGATAGTGGAGGTATTATTTTTGACTGCACAGTCGGAAGTTCCATCTAGTTATAATATCCTAACATCAGTATATTATCGTTAGAACAAAAAATCATAAGTTACTTATGTAGTTTAGGAAGTACATATATTTTTGTATGCCATTCTGCTTTTTTCTGTGCCACCGTATATAGAGTGTATGGTTATTTATTTGTTAAAAGGTGAGCAAAATCTGTTTTTTTCTCATCTTCAGGTATTTATTAGTATTAGTTGTAGAAATTTATGTAGCCATAACAGTAAAACGTGTCTGCCTAAAATAGATTTGTTTTCAACTTTTTTCAAGATGTATTGACAGAGATATTTTGAAACTTTTTTTCATTTTAATAGGTTTATGAAGAACCTGTATGTGCCAAAGATTTTCTGATACATTGCAATTGCCAAAGTTACATATCATGTGTGGATATTTTATACTTGGAAAATGTGACTAGCCATATTAATGTATCTTCATAAATTTAATATACCTACAGAAATGTTTAAGAGATATTGCTAGAGATGCTCTAAAACTATTTTTGTTACTGACGTAACATGCTAATGTGCTTTTATTATGTTTTACGAGTGTCTTTACACCTTTAAAATACATTTTCAGGCAAATATTGATGATATGTGCAATTTTTGCCGTCACTGTAATTTAATCCTCGATGTTATACAGTGGAACCTCTATAACTCTATTTCACAAGTCCACGTTTTTCTGTAATTCATTGTTTTAAACCCTTGTACAATAAGATATCTGCATGATATAAAGAGGTCAATTCAGTGGACACCAATGTGCTCATTATAATGAGGTTTCACTGTAGATAGCAAGTTCTGTTTTCAGAAGTATCTCTACTATCTAATTTAAACTGTTTGGATTCATTTGTCTTTGTTTTCATTCTGGTTCACATCATGTTGGCATTCACAGAGTAAAATTTGTTTATCTGTTAGTATAGTATTACTGCAATCTTTGTATACCTAAGAGGATGTATGTTCATAAGTCCTTTTAGCGAAAAGTACATCAATATAAGCTTTTGAAATACATTTTAAGTTACCTCATAAAGGCTATAACATGTATATGTTTAAGATTACTGTATTATTTTCAGATGTTTCGGGGGTATATTTCTATTTAAGTTGAGTTTATAAGTGAGACATTGATTATAAACCTTTTCTCCTTCGTATTTATACGTACTAAGCTCTACACGACTACATTTTCAAAGTTTGAAATATTTCACAAAGAATTCAAAAACTAAACTTGTATCACAGTGTGGTGGGCCTTTTATAGTGTGGTAATCTCATACAATATAATGTGTCACAATGTGAAAACGCCCTAATTTAACATAATGGGCGTTTCACATTGTGTTTGGTGTTTCACAGTGTGGTGAGCATTTCACTGTGTGAGTGTTCACAATATTAAATTAGGGCGTTTTCACATTGTGGTTGCTTCGTTTTACAGTGTGGTTCACAGTGTGGATATCTACACTGAAACGACGCGACCACAATGTGAAAACGCCTCAATTTAACATAGTGGGCGTTTCACAGTGTGTTTGGTGTTTCACAGTGTGGTGAGCATTTCACTGTGTGAGTGTTCACAATGTTAAATATGGGCGTTTTCACAGTGTGATTCACACTGTGTTTCACACTGTGAATGAGTGTTGTGGTCTGGTCGTTTCACAGTGTGGTTCACTACAGATTCCCACTGTGAAACGACGCGACCACAATGTGAAAACGCCCCAATTTAACATTGTGGCGCACACTGTGATTCACACTGTGAATGAGTGTGAATGAGTCTGAATAAGTGTTGTGGTCGCGTCGTTTCACAGTGTGGATAACTACAGATTCACAGTGTGGTCACATTGTGAACTTGTGGTTATCCACACTGTGAATCACACTGTGGAACGACGCGACCACAATGTGAAAACGCCCCAATTTTACATTGTGGCGCACACTGTGATTCACAATGTGAAACACAGTGTGATTCACACTGTGTTCCACACTGTGAATGAGTGTGAATGAGTGTGTTCTTTCCAGCAGGGAAGGCCAACTTGTAAATGCAGTCAATATAATGAGCCATTAGTCTCAAATATATCTTGAGTCATAAAACGATTGTAGATGTAAAATTAGTCTGTTTTGTTACGGTATACGTATTTCCGATATGCACCGATTGTAACTTAGCAGTTATGTACAAATCTCCCATTTTGAATTGAAGCACATTTCCAATGATTTTGTCACCGTCCATTAGGTATTCTACCAAACTATGTACGTCTATTTATTGACCTATTGCTTCCAATACCTTTTTTGTATATATATATATATATATATATATATATAGGCGTGAAGTAAATGGTCTAGGAACGTGAGACGTAGCTGTACTTTACAAGTTTATTACTAGACCATTTTCTTCACGCCTTCATATTCTGGAACACCCGTTGTCATGTCAGAGTTGAGAATTCTCGCACTGTTATATATATATATATATATATACTTAGATTTGGTCTATTCCTCCGTACAGTGCTCAATGCTTATGGGCAGAGCAAAATATATATTGAATAAGGCAGACTAATGGAGCATGGTTGCAACTCCGAGTTTCACGCCTTGCGAGCGATCATCAGGCAACTGATAGCATGATTACTCTACAATCTACAATACGTTCAAAATAAGGAATACAATACAATACAAAACAATAAGATTTACTCATGGGTGAAGGGGCTATTGTGATTGTTCAGGTACTGCGATGGAATTTTAAAACATGGGAGGGGGTATCGCAAAATAGTCTCCACCAAGGTGCTAGTACATAAATATATATATATTTAATTAAGTATAGTCTCTTTTGAAGTTGCAGAGGTAGAATTTGTTTTCGTGGCGGCATTTGGAGATGAGTTCTGGTCTTTTGTTCAGGAGTGTCTGTTTCTCGGCGTTGATGATGGCAAGCTTCTCAGTTAGGCACAGGTTGCATTTCTTCGTTTCGCTGGAGTACGCATGGGCCTTGCTGGAGATCTACCACTCGATGGTGAATGGGGTGCTTTGGTGTTTGAGTTGCCAGATGTGTTTAGAGAGTTCTGTGCTGTTTTTGTGCTTCTCATGTCGGAAGGACTGTAGATGGTTGCCGTACCTCAGCTTGAACGGGGGCTCGGTGAGTCCAATATATTGCTTAGGGCTTTCTGGGCCGGAGACTTTTGCACTGTAGATGATACTGCCGGCCTGGCAGTTTCCTTGTAGGGGGCACACATTCTTTTTCCGGCAATTGCAGGTTTTCGGCTTGGTGTGGTCGTCCGTGGATGAAACCTGCTTGTTGTGCGCCTTGATGATGCTGGCGACATTCGGCATGCAGCTGTAGCTGACTTTGAGCGTGTTCCTGTTGAATATCTTGTTGAATTTTGATTTCTTTGGGAAGTGCTTATCAACAAGCCTCAGGAACGATCTGCCGATGTTGGTTGCGACGTTTTTGCTGAATGGAGGGTTGAACCAGATGATGTTTCGTTTCCGGTTTTGCTTTCTCCTTGTCGGGCGCTCCTTCGTGTAGGTGAGGGTTTCAGCAAATTCACTGGCTTTTAGGGCATCGTTGTAGGCAGGGGAAGCTTCGTTGAAAGTCTCTTCATCGCATGATGCACTCGAGGAAATCTCTGCTGTTCGACAAAGGCAAACCATGGAGGAAGAAGGATAGCAACGGCCTCTTCGACGTCACTATGGGCAGTTTTGACGGAGCTGAGATATGTGAGTTGGTCGGCTTATACATCCTAAGTATCCTATCGAAGGACTATGGCAAAGATGGAATCGGGCTTTACAGAGACGATGGGCTAGCAGTCTTCAAGAGCATCTCCGGAAGCAGAGCCGATCGAATTAGGAAAAGCATAACGAGAACATTCCAAAAACTTGGCCTTCACATCACAATCGTTTGCAACCTAAAAATCACCAACTTCCTCGACATCACCTTCAACCTGAGTGATGGCAAGTACTACCCTTACAGGAAGCCGAATGACTGCCCAATGTACATCCACAAGCTATCCAACCACCCACCATCCATCATCAAGAATCTCCCAGCATCAATAAGCCGCCGAATAGCAGACATCTCATGCGATGAAGAGACTTTCAACGAAGACCAGAGCTCATCTCCAAATGCCGCCACGAAAACAAATTCTACCTCTGCAACTTCAAAAGAGACTATACTTAATTAAATATATATATATTTATGTACTAGCACCTTGGTTGAGACTATTTTGCGATACCCCCTCCCATGTTTAAAATTCCATCGCAGTACCTGAACAATCACAATAGCCCCTTCACCCATGAGTAAATCTTATTGTTTTGTATTGTATTGTATTCCTTATTTTGAACGTATTGTAGATTGTAGAGTAATCATGCTATCAGTTGCCTGATGATCGCTCGCAAGGCGTGAAACTCGGAGTTGCAACCATGCTCCATTAGTCTGCCTTATTCAATATATATATATATATATATATATATATATATATAAGCTTTTAAATTTACAAACTATGTAGGTCTATTTATTGACCTATTGCTTCCAATACCTTTTATGTATATATATATATATATATAGGCGTGAAGCAAATGGTCTAGGAACGTGAGACGTAGCTGTACTTTACAAGTTTATTACTAGACCATTTTCTTCACGCCTACATATTCTGGAACACCCGTTGTCATGTCAGAGTGGAGAATTATCGCATACATACGATATGATTTTCAATACCTGTTTCATAACGTTCATCATTTCCCGTCATTTTGCGTATACGATGAACTTTACATTTTCATAATCATGATGCCCTCATATTTCTTGATGTGAACGATCTACAATGAAGTCCCTTCCCTAGCATGCTAGGTAGTGTCGAAAGGTTTTCACAGGTAACAAAAGCTGAAATAGAAATTGTGCCTCTTGTTAATATTTGTTCTTTCGTTTCCGTCAACTATCGTGTTCAATATTATTTTAAGCCCGTCTCAATGAAATCATATATAACTTTTAAAAATCAAAATGATTAAAAAATGTAATGTTATCTTTTATGGAATCCCCTGAGGTGAGAAAATAATTGATTTTATTGTAAAGAGAGCGAAATATGGAGACAAATTGAAAAATTTCTTATTCCTGATAGTTTGTATAATTTGTTGTTATTTCTTGATCATCACTAGATGGTGGAGACCCGACTCCATGCGGGAAAGTCATCCTTCTGGACGCGGACCAACCAACTGTCCAAATCACAGACGAGCGTTACCGTCTCGGAGGGACTGAAGACGATGCCACAAACGAATGCCTTTGGTATTTCCGCGGTCCACCCGGTACGACCATTCGACTGGACATAGTGGCTTTGGAGCCCATGACTGAACCCTTCATTGTCTATGACGGACTCGGGATCGAGACTGATAATGACCAAGGCATCCAACTCGGTGGACGTCATGGGAACAGTTTCATATCAAATGGTCGTGGACTCACGTGTAAACTACCCACAAAATTAGACGACATCCACCAAGAGACTTCGGTGACCATGCAAGCAACTCTACAAGGTACTAAACTGTGGGTCATATTGCTTACAATGTGTTTATAAAGGGATGGTTAAAATCCTAATCCTAATAATAATAATAATAATAACAGAATAATATAATTTTGTTGGGGTTTATTCGGTATTTGTCGTATTTGGAAGTGTCGTAGTAGAGTGGTTTGGCAAAGTATTTTTGCAAGACATTAATCTACATTTGCCACTCAATACCCAAGAGAGAAATGGGGACCCGGTAGGATGACGAAAGCATTCTTGTTAGTAATTGCCTATGCCCTCACGGTGACCATATGGTAGGAATACTCCCCAGGGAGTGGGGATGGTGCACATTGTGCGGGAATGAATCCGACGACAGGGGTAATAATATCTGTAAAGCGCTTAAAGGTTGTATTCCGTATTAAGCCATAATAAAGACGCTCACGATGCTAAGCAAACCACAATGACTTTGCATCCTACTGGGTAGGGCTATCCGTTAACATCTGGGTGATGAGAAGCAATGTAGACGAAATACCTTGCTTAAGGATATGACTGCCGTGCCGAGGATCAAACCAACGACTTTTGCATCTCATGTCAAGTATTTTTACTCGACTATACAGTGCGTCCCAGAAAAACGAAACTGAGAATTATCGATGTTTTATCATAACCTAATGACATTTATAATTAATAAATGACACATATTTGGAAAGCTTATATCCTCCTCTTTCATTTTGATGCAACTCATATGATGCATATTACACGCATGAGTGATTAAAATGAATTTCAAGAGAGGAAACCAAAAAGTCATTTGGCGAACGGTATCTGAATTTCAAAGAGAAAATCACATTTCTAAAAAGTTGAGTTTCTGTCTTTTCATATGACACCTCAATCAGTAAAAATGAGCAAAGAATGACAAATTTCTGTTTGTTTAAAGTAGTGCATGCATTTCCATAATTTTATTAAACGAATGCGTTTTCACTGGCTTTCAGCCGTAGCAACAAACGGAATTAACAAAAGCCTTAACTCCGTTTCGTTGACAATCAGCCTTCGACCAAGGAGTTACTCCTTGCTTCGACGAAAGACTTCATGCATGGCTGTTTGTCGACGAAACGGATATAAGTCTTTTGTCAATTCTGCTTGTTGCTACGGCAGGAAGCCAGTGAAAACGAATTCGTTTGATCAAATTATGGAAATGCAAGCACTACTTTAAACAAACAGGACTTTGTCATACCTTGCTCATTTTTGCTGATTGAGGTGTCATATGAAAGAGCAGAAACTCAACTTTTTAGAAATGGGATTTTCCTTTTGAAATTCAGATACCGTCCGTCTTATAAAGAGTTGATATTAATCGCAACTTTTTTGTAATTGAAATCAATCACATCTATGTACATACAAGATAGAAGACTGCAACTTGCGAATGATTTGAATCGATCGCAACTCTTTATGAGACGGGGTTAAGTCTTTCTAATAGACCTGTATAGCGAGTAATGTTTTGTATCGTATAAAATCAGGCACGAATTTTTATCCCATATTAGATGCCTAGAATGTTACCAAACACTGCTTTGGGGTTTTCTCCTTGACTATGGATGCCCATTCACTCATCTTTCTTTCATCTTTCCATGCAGAAGAGTTGTCAATCGAAGGAGCCATTCCAGGAGAGTGCGGAGGAACTATCAATCTCGACCAGACTTCTCCGATATCTCACTTCAACGTCACCAACTCCTATCCATCTGGTGTGTCTGCCTCCTGTAACTGGTACATCAATAGTCCTCCCAACACGATGATTGTGGTGGAGTTTTATGATTGGCAATTAATTGATGACAACGATTATCTGAGTATATATGATTCAAGAGGAAGACAAATTTTCTATGCTTATGGAAAACTCCAACAAGCCCCACACCCAGTTATATCTGATTCCAGTGCCCGTGTCTATTTCAACGCTTACTACAATAATGATGTGTCGGATTCCTATTTCGGCGTGAAATTCAGCTACATAGGTGAATACTTTTATAATTCGTGTTCCATGATGTTCCAATAACAGGAAGCTGGTCCCGATTAAACTGGATGATATGAGCAAGCAAAGCGAATGAGCAGTTTAAGAAAGTCGGTTATCAGAATAAGCCCAATATAACATAGCACGCCAATTTTCTTTCAGATTTATGAACCTATTTAGGTTTTTAGAAATTTGAGATATCGACAAGAAATAAGAGATTACTTAAAACTTCAAACTCTCGAATTTCAATAATTGTCGACCATCGCCGTAGCCCAAAGTTATTCCCCTGCCTATTTTGCGCCAATGCTAAAAATATGCAAAAAGAGGAAGTGTATGACTTTGTTCCAAATCAGCCCTGATACATATACATCCAAGCTAATGTAGATTTCATATCAATATAAACGATTAGATAGAATCCGCTTTGCAAGGAAGAGCATTACCAACGAAATATTGCAGCAAGCGACATGCAACATTTCTTATCTCTTATGTCTCTTTCGTGTTTCGTATCTTTTTCATACTATATAGATGGACATAACGATGCCAGCGTCCTCCAATCATCTGGTGGGGTCATTGAACTGAATGAAAATACGACATCGCTGACCGTTCAGTCTATGTATTTCACTTCTACATATTATGTTGAAAATGTGAACAACTACTGGTTTGTTACTAGTCCAGTCGGAAGACGTATAAAGGTCGAATTCCATAAGCTTAAAGCAGGACATTTCTATGTATATGATAGTTCTAACACAAGTGGAATAGTATCTCGTTTCTCGAATCCATCTATCATGCCTGAAGATAGGGTTTTCTCTCAGAACACGGGAACACTATACTTCCAATTCAGTGGAACCTATGGAGGAGTCGGCCTTCAATTTACAATAAGCATTACAGGTGAACATTGTTTAAGAGTGAAAATAGAATAAAATTAACAACATTATTTAACCAAACGGTCACCCTTTAGAACTGAGGCCCTATTCATACTCACCTCGTTAGAGAGGCGTTCATACGAGCGTTCTGTGGAGACACAACCGTGACAGGAAGCGTATTTCTGGAAGACCACATCGAGCATTTGGTCTGAACCCGGCGCGCAAGAAGCAGTTTGAGATTGGGGGGGGGGGGGGGGCAAACCTTCCAGGGGGCTCACCTTTCAGGGGCAGTGGCGTAATGAGCAAAAACGTGAGGGGGGGGAGAAGAAAATCTGCATCACAAACACTGTTACATGTTACATAATATATGCAGGCCCCGCGGAACGTATTTCAAAGTGGAGTATCAAAGATCAGGTAGAGTGTAGAGAGCGGAGCGAGAGGAGCATAAATTGGCGTAGGGTCCAGGGGCTTCCCCCCAGCGGGGTAAGGGGCGGAGCCGAGGGTCAATGGGCGGAGCCCCCGGAAGCTCGGGAGTTTTAGGCATTAAATTACAGTCAGATGAGCATTCAGGAGCCCGTCTTAGGGCCCCGGGTTGGGTCCAGGGGCGCGGAGCCCCAGGAAGCTCGGGGGTTTTAGGCATTTAACTTCGGTCAGATGTCCATATTTTATTACCTCATTTGTGACAATGGCAGGCCACTCATTCTTTCTTTCTCTCTTTTTTTCTTTTTCTCTTTAACATACTTTTTCCAAAAAAAGTGAGAGGGGGGAGGGGGGAGGGGGGGGGGGGGCATCCCCGATCTTGCCATTCTGAAAGCCCTGACATGAAGGCTTCTGAATAAACATATTTTTGACTGACTGTTAAGTGGGAATATGTAATTTTCCGAAAACGCATAAAAAAGTATAATCTATAAAAAAAGTGAGGAAAAATCCCTGAGAATTATGTTATTTTACCAACATTTATATTTCTCTGATAACGAATCGAACCACGTTTTGAATCTTAATTGGATGGGGGCAACTGCCCCTCCCCCATCAGTACGTCAGTGTTCAGGGGCTCATGTCTTCTCACCCCTATAATAAAAACACACGCGCTTTCCCATCCTCTCACGATATTTCCAGGATATGCGCGTATCGCTATTATAAAATCCTCCATTGATAAATAAATATAGGGGCATGCTTACTCTCCATTTTTTTTTTTTAATGGAACATCATTTGTATGTGATTAAATTTAGGTTTCATTATCATTTATTTTCTGTTTGGTTAAAAACGTACAAACTATTTTTACTCCTTTACTCCTGTTTTTTTTTTTTAAATGGGGGGGGGGGGGCGTTTATTTATTTATTGATTTCATTTTTTTTTGGGGGGGGGAGGGCAAAAATGCGTTTTGCCCCCCCCCCCACTTATTTAATGAAATGCTTTCCACTTTAATACGATCGCTAAGACTTCCAAAAAATCAACCTGAGGCAAATTCAATATCCGTGTCCACCACCTGCTATGAATGTGCAAACATTAATAATGTTTTATGAAATTCTAACATGGGTCATACAATACGGTATTGAAACTGCCCTTGAGTTGATTTCTTGAAAATTTTCGCGATCATGATCTTTTTTAGTAGTAAGATCGATGCATTGTTAATATGAACGTATTCAAACATTATATATTGCTCGCAAAATATCTTCATGACAATCTAAAATAGAAATGTCTCAATAGTTTTTTCTTGACATTTAGCTTTAAGGTACATTCATTTTGTTCAGGACCGTCGCCAGACTATTTGAATGGGGTAAATGGGATCAGATTTAGTTTGCCAACGGGGAAAAAATCGGATGGTGGAATTGCCCAAAGATTTTTACGTTTTTCCCTAACAAGCAAAATGACTTTAGAAAAACGTCACCAGTCTTTTATTTTCCTATATCACGCCCCCCCCCCTCCCTTGTAGCGGCGCCCTTGATTTTGTTATGCAAAATATCTTTGCAGATGAATACCCAGTTGTGGGGCAACAGACATGTGGCGGTAGAGTAGAACTGGATCAATTTCAAGATAAGTTTATCTTCATCTCCCCGTACTACTACGGTCAGTCGGTTAGAGGAGAAACAGATTGCTATTGGTATGTGACTAGTCCGGCAGGTAAACAGGTGCAGCTTGAATGGCTAGATATTGACACATCGTATGAGTACGTGAGGGTGTACGATCACCCATCATCTCAAAGTTACCCGGTATCTCAATTCCGAGGTGAATTTGATCCAGACCTGTCACCGTTCGTGTCTACTCGAGGAGGCATCACGTTTATGCTAGACGACTACTCATCTGATACTAATGGAAGAGGGTTCCGAGCCAACGTCTCCCTTTCAGGTAATAATTTCGATTGTACACTATGATACTGATTATGATGAAAACACCAAAGGCCACAATGACCTGATAATAAGAATGTTTATGATAAGGATTCACAAATCATCATCTTTTAAACAAAGTTCAACCATGCTTATTAAAAAGACAAACGAAGGCATTAGTTTTTCTTCATCAATCTACAGTGCCTCTCTCCACCCAAGAGCAGTATATTGTTATCAGGTATATATCTATTATTTGAATGCTTTAGCGTCTTAGGGCAGCTTGGCTAAAGCCAGAAAGATAGTAGAACTGTATGGATCGACGCCTTACGCATTCCCTGGTATATCAACGTCGCTATTCGTATACATGTACATGTATTATGATTGTTTACATTACATAGTACATTGAAACGGTTCTCTTCTTGATCTAGATGGAACTTCGGTAGTGGGCCCAGGATCATGCGGGGGGACAATTAGGCTGAGCAAATCGATGCCAGACTTTACACTCAACTCCCCACATTACTACCAACCCTCGTCATATGAGTCTAACACATATATACGCTGCTACTGGTGTGTACATGCTCCCTTGGGACAGGAGGTTGAACTGACATGGTTAGACATAGACTATAAAACTTATCAAGTTATGATCTATGACTACCCATCCTCTACCAACTACATAGTTTCAAGTATACAAGGAGACATTGACGTGGATATATCACCTGTGGTTTCTTCACGTGGTGGATGGACAGTACAACACACTGACAAGTACACTGGGAAGAAGGGAAGAGGCTTCCTGGCAGAGTTCAGTCTAAGAGGTAAAGTAGGAGGCTCTCCGTTTGTAACGCCTACGAATTTCCAACAAGAACTCTTTACTGTCATCGGCTACTTTGTACATTCGTCCCTTCCCCCATCCAAAGAAATGCATCATTGACTACTTCAGTGATGTATTTCTATTGGGAAATTTAATGGCATTGATTTGGATGGTATGAAAATAATGTTGATGTCGGATTTTCCCGACGGGGGTGTGGGGGGGGGGGGGGTAATAGTAAAAACATATTCCCCCAAATTTCTCTTTCGGGACTTATTTTCCAACTCGAATCCCACGGCCCCCTATCTCCCCTCCTTCCCCATGCGCTGACGGTGGGAAATTCACATTTATGACACAGTAGGCCATGCTTGTAACGGAATCAAGTTGAATACATAGGCCTTCATCTTTGTGAATGCCTCGTTACGAATTAATTCATTCAAGTACTACGAATCAGGTGCGCCGAAAGCAGTTTGGGATTGGTGGGGCAAACATTCCAGGGGGCTCACCTTCCAGGGGCAGTGACGTATTAAATAAGGGGGGGTTAAAAGAAAAATCTGCATCACCACAACTCTTAGATGATACATGGAGGCCCCGCGGAACGTTTTTCAACGTGGAGCATTAACGATCAGGTAGAGTGTAGCGAGCGTAAAGTGGTGTAGGGGCCGGGGGCTTTGCCCCCGGAAGCTCAGCGTTTTTTAGGCATTAAATTACGGTTAGATATTATTCAGATTATTTGTGACATCTTATTTGTGACACTGGCAGTTCACTAATTGGCGCGGGGTCCAGTGGCAGAGCCCCCTGAAGCTCAGGGGTTTTAGGTATTTAATTACGGTCAGATAAGCATCCAGGGGCACAGGGGGCAGAGCCCCCGGAAGCTCATAGGTTTTAGGTATTTAATTACGATCAGATGTGCATCCAAGGGCCCGCCATGGGGCCTTATGTGGGGTTCAGGGGGCAGAGCCCCCGGAAGCTCAGAGGTTTTTAGGTATTTAATTACGGTCAGATAAGCATCCAGGAGCCCTCTTTAAGGCCCTTGTTGGGGTCCAGGGGGCAGAGCGCCCGTAAACTCATGGGTTTTAGGCATTTAATTACGGTCAGACGAGCATCCAGGGGCCGCCTTAGGACCCTTGGGGGGAGGGGGGTCCAGGGGGCGGAACCCCCGTAAACTCATGAGTTTTAGGCATTTAATTACGGCCAGATTAGCATATGTTGATACCTCCTTTGTGACATTGGCGGGTCACTCATTTTTTTTCTCTCTCTTCCTTTCTTTTTCTCTTTTAAATACTTTTTCAAATTCGTGAAGGGGGGTTAGAGCCCCCAAGCCCCGACATTCTGCATGCCTGACATGAATGCTTCTAAATAAGCATATTTTTTCGCCCGACTGTAAATTTGGGAATTTGTAATTTTCCAACAAACGCATAAAAAGGTACGATTTACCCCGAAAAAACACCGGAAAATCATGTCATTTCAGCAACATTTATCAATCACTGGTTTCAAATTAGAAATACCCCCCCCCCCCATCAGTACGCCAGTGTTAAGGGGCTCATGTCTTCTCACCTCTATAATAAAAAAAAAAACACACTCGCTTTCCCATCCTCTCACAATATTTCTACGATATGCGGGTATCGCTATTATAAAAACCTCGATTGATAAATATAGGGGCATGCGGAATGTATAGGAAATTTAAATCCCATTCTTTGAATGGAATATAATTTGTATGTGATTCAATTCAGGTTTTCTTATTTGTATGTTCTTTTTGTTTCAAAAATACAAACCATCTTTACTCCTTTACTGCTTTTTTAAATATTTTTTAAGGGTGGGGGGGGGGGCGTTTTTTTTTTTTGGGGGGGGGGGGCGCAGGTGCCCCCCCCGCCCCCCTCCCACTTCCGGCGCCTATGCTACGAATTATTTCAAAAGTCAGAGTGCATATGAATATATTAGGTCTACGTGTTTGCAAGGTAGGGCAATCCATAATGTTTACCCGACCTAGCAATGTAAGCAATGTAAGCAAATCGAGATAAGTTTATCCACATGTATGCTATAAATATGTTCATTTCCTAGACACACCCAATTCTTCGAGCGCGACTTCATGCGGAGGTATGATTCCACTGACTCAGTCTTCACCACATGCTACCTTCTCCATCCCGTACTACTATCAGTCGTCTAGATCTTCTGTTTTCTTGAACTGCTACTGGTATATTACAAGTCCTTCAGGAAAACAAGTCCAACTGACAGTACTTGATCTAGAGACAGGCAGTTCTGAAAGGATATATATTTATGACCATCCGACTTCTATTAGTCCAAGTTACCAGGTATCTTACTTGTCTGGACGCCTGGAATCACCTGCTACTGTCTTGTCTTCACGGGGCGGAGTGATAGTGCGTTACTACGATTACAACTCTGGTTATAACGGCCCAGGAATCCTGTTCGAAGCGAGGATTCTAGGTATGAACGAGAAATCCAACATTCTAGATGAGCTGGTAGAAAAAGTTAAACTGATATAATACAAGAAAGATATGCGTGGTTGTTAGTTGAAGCACATATGTTTCCTCCTCCTGACATCTCTTGTACCCTTTACGGTGCCTACAGGTGTTTCAATGGTATTTTCATCAAAAACATGTGGATGGGATGGCATCCCTCTGCTTTTAAATAATATAAGACTTCCTTTGCAATTCACCTTTTCCCCTTTTTTGTGTATTCAACTTGATGAAGGGTGATTGATTAGTGCCGGCTAGGGCGCTAGGCTACTAAAAAATATGCTTTTCCCTTAATAGTTATAATCAATATAGATGTGTCATAACGTAGTGGTAGTGGATACGTGATCGGACTGTCGCCCGTATATGGTTCGTAAAAAAAGGCGTTAGTTTGAGTTCTTATTAACAAAAATATGTATTACGCTTTCGTTCTAATATCATACTAATGATAATTGTTTTATTAAGAAATATGGAAGGCAGCCCAAGGGCTAAATTGTACAATATTTTTTACAATAGTATTTATAAGACTTTATATCTCTATATGCTCTTGTATGTGACATATGAACGAACATAATACACACAAGTGGGTCTACCACTGAATGAGTAGTAATTCTTAACTGTATATAGGTAAAATTTCAAATTAATGTAATGTAAAGGATGAACACATAGGAAAGAGGGTAGCATACGTGTATATGCTTCATACTTTGAGAAGACAGGTGGTAAGAAATCCTAAGAAATACATTCCCAGCCTTAGCATATACACGCAGCTATAAACAATTAGCAGCATCATAACATCAATTAATTTTACTTTCCATCACTCTTCCGTGCGCTCTCATGACAATTCGAAGAACAGCTCCGCATTTTTTATTCTTTATTGTCACCTTCAGATGCAATGCCTTCGGAGGTGCCGGGTTTCTGTGGCGGAGTGATTCCTTTGAGTACAAGTACACCACGGGTCACAACCACCACTCCTTTGTATCATAAAAATTCGGAATCTGATGTGACCATCGACTGCTGGTGGTACGTCAGAAGTCCCTCGGGTAAGCAAGTTGAGATGCGTGTACACGACCTCCAGACAGAAAACGAGTATGTGACGGTGTACGACTATCCATCGTCATCGCTCTACCAGGTTTCCGATCTTCGGGGCATTGTCAGTAATTCTACGGTGGTTTCAACAAGGGGAGGTTTCTCTGGAGTTTTCAACGATACATCAACTAGTAGAAATGGTCATGGTTACGCCATGGACGTCGCATTAACAGGTATGACCTGAGTGGTTTTTGACTTGACTCTTAACATGTTTCCATTTCATATAAGCACTTAAGTCGGGAGTTAAGCTTAAAGTAATGCAAATCTGACGGAAAATCAGAGTCGGTTTTCATCGGAATTGCGAAGATCGTAATTTATGTAAAATCCAACGCAAATTATCTTCAACGAGCTTTCTTTCCTCTATTGATAACAATATTCAACTCTGTTATCTTTGAACTATATACCTATAATATTGTGTGTTTACCTTGTTTTTCAGACGAACTGTCGTGGGATAGTGTGGGTATTGATTCCTGTGGTCAAACGGTACACCTCGACCTTTCATCACCATCTATTGTCTTTAGAACACCGACTTATCCAGTCGAGGTTGTGAATGACCGGTACATCTGCTACTGGTATTTCACCTGCCCATACGGATACCGAATCTCGCTGCTTTTCAACGATTTCGACATTTTCTCTGGCTCCCGCCTCAGAGTTTACGATGCCTCTTCTGTTTCTTCAACCTATCAGTTGGCCGAAATATCGTCGAGTTCCACACCAGGTTCTGGAGCCATTCAGTCATCCAGCAATACCATGACGCTTTACTACAATGATACTGACTGGAGTGACGTAACAAAGCAACGTGGAATACTCGCTGAAGCCTCCATTGTTTCGTCAGGTTTGATATATTCAGTTCAGTACTGTTCGGGGTTATTTCCAAGTTTCACGTTAAAAAAGGTCATTTTGGCTCACAAGATATATAATGGTAATACAAATGCATAGGTATGTTTAATAAACGGAGGTACATAAATTATCAATTATATATCTAGACAATACAATTTCCATATTACAGCTAATACCTTCTCTCTGCTCTCTCTCTCTCTCTCCCCTCTCTTTCTCCCTCTCTCTTTATCTCTCTGTCTCCCCCTCTCCCCCTCTCTCTTCTTCTTTGCCTTCTTTCTCTCCCTCGATAGCTCTTTTATTTCAGTGGACAATATTAGTATGGATCTACTAGCGACAGTATAGTATATCCGTGATAGAAGTAACCGAATACGAGCCAAGAGTTGATCCTTTCGAAGAACAGCGGTTCGGCTCAACCGAGGTTTTTCGAAGTTAGACTAAAAGAATCATTTCTGATAATCCATACTGGCGTTATGAATATTAATACGTAGTACGAGCGCCAAGTTTGTATTTCGGGGATGACTCGGTTTCACACTGACGCTTGATAAATTCGTTCCTAAGATTTTTAGTTAAACCAAAACTTGCTTAATTTTAAAATGCAGTAATTTTGATCACTAGTGGCTGAACTCCCCCCTCCACAAATACACACAGACAAATGAAATAAATATATAATATTCCAAAATTATTCTAGACAATGCTTTCAAAGTATTCTAAAAATTACTTCATCCAAATCCTGATAGACTGAGGATGTAATTGGGTAACTAAGATAATGCGATATCAATAGGCACGACAAATTTATATCCAGGACTTTGCGATTATGAAAACGTATCCGCATGATGGGATGATCTAAATTATAACAGACACATTATTTGAAATTATGTTTTTGTTTGCCTCCTCCTATATTACTACTAAGCAGCTACATTAATATGCATGTCAAGAGATGTCGTGGTCCAGTGAATATGTCTCCGGAGTGTGGATCACAAGACAGGCCTTGCAAATTCCTTTGGCAAGACAATGACATTTGCCATTTTCCACCAATGTAAAGGAAATGGCTTTAGGGCCTTATCAAAGTGGTTTTGCCGTAAGTAGGCTAGTCCAGAATTTGGCGTTACCAACACTACCTCCCCCTACTTACTTGCTACCAGCCGATGATGGCGTGATAAAAAAAATAAGGACGCCCGGCGAAAAAAAAATAGGTCCTTCCTCAGGCTGGGCTGGTGAGTTTGTTGGTAACGCCATCTTCGACGGCTTGAATAAAGTGTGTAAGGAATTATAAAGAACCGGGCAGATTCTGATGAAGGGGGGTGCATGCCGTGTAATAATATTCTTATAAAGCACTTAGAAACATAAGTACCAAACGCTATATTTATTGCAACTATTAATATCTTATCTATCATATATTTGGTGTATGTTATATTCAGGAGAACCAACTTGGGAGCAGGTTGGACCGATGTCTTCATGTGGTAGCGCTGTATCATTGTCTGGCCAAGATAGTCGTATCACGCTCACAACTCCTGATTACCCGGATGTAAATGGCGACTACTACGAGTGCACGTGGTTCGTAGAATGTCCCAGCTACACAACAGTTCGAATCGATTTTAACGACTTCTGGCTTGATTCTAACGGGTATCTTCGCGTGTATGATGGCCCGAATACTGGTTATTCTGTGATACAACATTCAACTGGTAATTTAAGCATACCTGACAGTGTGAATTCAAGCAGCAACGTCATGACGGTCTACTACTACAACAATCGCGGAACCTCAGGCAAAGGAGCTAGTTTCGCAATAAGCTGTTTATTTGAAGGTAGCTGAACGACCTTCTTAGTCACATAACTAAAATCATAAAAATAGAAAATTATGAGAAAAACAGTCTTGTCAATGAATAAAGAATTTTAAAAGAATGTCTAGAGGGGATTCACGTAGGCCTACCTATTATCCGTGTAGGCCTGTCGTAAGATTAAAATAGGATATTTCAAGCGCTGTACGCAAAAAAAAGAATGAAAACCGCGGCCATGCACAGCCTTTATTCGGCTTTATAGTTTATCCGTGCTGCCTAAATTACAGAAAGAAAAAAATGAAATATTAGTAATATCGTAGATATTTCAGACCTTAGTTAAATTATGAAATAAGTTATTAAAGATCCTTTTTTTAATTTTTTTTTTAAATAGTTTTTTTTTATGAAGAAAGAAAAATCGAATCAATTTCTTTGTCTTCTTCATCATTTATATAACTGATAAAGAGAAACAATGAAATGTGAAGAAACCTGACGCAAAAGGGAGGCCTACGCTAAACAAAATAATGAAGATGATGATGATATGTTTTGTAGTGATTATTATGATAATAATGATAATGATAGTGATAATAATGTTTTGAAATTGCCAATTATTAATGATTGCTGAAAACCTAAACTCGTAAAAAACTGAGTTTTGAATATTGTAAGGTTAAAAGATTTCAAAGTTATTTCTTAGTATCTTTTATGACATTTCCATGAATAGGGCCTCATCTTACTCTAAAAATGCCTCTGACAATTTCCTTAGATTTTCAATTTTTTGAAAAATAAAGGCCACAGATCTTAGTCTTTCAGTTATTTATTCAACACCAACAATACTAATGTGCATGGGTGTCGATCCTTACGTAATACCTATTGTTCAGGGGGATGAATGAATAGATCATCCCCCTGAACAATAGGTATCAATTACAGATCGACACCCATGCCAATGTGCATCGCCTTGTCATTTTTTCTAACCTCTTTGCTATCTCGATTCATTAATGACTCATGACTCTGTGTTAAAGGGATAGTTTAGTTCTGTTTTCAGATCGCAAATGCCTTCAAAGTGCATGGCTATTGCTCTTATTCTTATCTATGAAATTTCTAGTGCCCTTTTAGAACCTAAAATTGCTATGGAGGTAATTTTAGACCCCAAAATGTGTGAAATTTAGCCAATACGATCATACCAATTCAGCTCCACTTTAAAAAAAACACGTTGATCGGCATTGGCTGAAATATGACGTAAACGGCGCTGTTTCGTTTTTTCAACGGTTTTTTCAAGTTATCTAATATTTGTGGTGATACACAAGTATTAGAAATCGTTATATTTATGGATATTTCAGCCGTCTCTGAACCAATTTTTATCAAACAAAGCTGATTTTGTCATTTAAATTGTACGTTTTAATTTGTATTTTTTCCCATCATTTATTAACTGAATAATAATACGTACATAAGAGACACGAAATTATCTCGATTACAAAGAAAAACACATGAATTATACTTATATTACAAAAAGAATTATACTTTTTTGTTTAACATAGTCAACATTTCTTTCCAGAGATGATGCTTTTCAACATTTACCTTTCATAATATTTACTTTAAACAAATGTCGAATTTGTTTGTAAAATTACCTTTTCTTTTTTGCGTATATAAAACATAAGAAGCTAAATTAATTAATAGATTTTTTAAAAATACATATTTTGAATTTATGTTATCACATTGCTTGCCTACAATTATATCACTGTATTCAATATTTTCATTATAAAACAATACTTCTGTTTTTCTGAGAAAAATAAGACCTTGTTCCAAAATATTTTTGAGTACTCACAGTCATAAAATAAATGATAATATTTTTTTCTGTGCATTTGCACTTCAAACAATAATCATGATCAGATCTTTTTGAACGATATAGAAATTCTTCAAATACTAATAACTTATAGAGTAGTTCGAAATTAAACTGTTTTAAATTTTTTCCTTAACGTATGTCAAATTCGTTTTCCATATATTTTCCCAGGATAATTTATTTTTATTTTTATATGAACACAAAACAGTTTCACATTTTAATTTTCTTTTCCAGTCACGAGGTATACACTTCCAAAGTAATTTAACCTCACATAAATAATTATTTTTAATACAAAGTAATTCTTTTGCCCGATTTACATCCACATCCCCTTTGGCGTCTATGATGTCCCCAATAAATAATATTCCAGATTTTAGCCAGTGTTTCCACCATAAACATAATTTTTTCTTTCTTTTATATATGTGTTTCCCCATGACAGCTGCATTCTAATATTATTGACCTCATTACATGATTTATTTACACATTGACATTTTTTCCATGCGGAAATACATTGTTGGTAAAATAAAGGTGTTTCTTTTAGAACTGTAAAATCTTCGTTTTTTAAGAAACTCATCTTGAGCACTAAAAAGTTAGGCCCAAGATAGTTTAAATAATAATATGGGAGAATCTTCCATCTAAAATTATGATCTTTATTATCCATTAACTTAAAGAGCCAATTTACTTTTAAAGCAAAACTTTGCAAGACAAAATCTGGCATATTCAAACCTCCTTTATCGGTTGACCCGATTAGAGTTTTTCTCTTTGCTCTATCTAAACCATCCCAATCAAAATTGTAAATGAGTTTTTCAATTTGTGTATTTATACAATCAATATTTGGAAAAAACTGACATAATAAAGTAATATTTGACAACACAAGTGATTTCAATACAGTTACTTTAACAAAGTATGTCAACTTTCTACGTTTCCATCGTTTAATTTGGTTTTCAATATGTTCTTCCTTTTCCTTCCATGTTTTTTCATAAGCTAGTTTCATGTTCTTACTAAAATAAACACCGATTGTTTTTTACAAACTGATAGGACCATGTGATTTCCTTACATTGTTCTACATTAAATTCACCAAAATGAAAACCTTTTGATTTTGATACATTTAAAGTAGGTCCTGCTGCACAACCAAAAGTTTTTATTTTACGCATGGCATCTTTAAAAGAATTTCGTTAGCAACGAAAATTGTTGTATCATCTGCTAATAAGCTAATTTTCACTTGAGTATCAGGCATATCTTCTAATCCCGGTAATTGAACACCTTGAATAGCTTCATCTGATCTAATCTCGGTTGCTAATATTTCGATGACAACTAAAAACAATAGAGCAGACACTGGGCATCCTTGCCGAAGACCTCTTTGCAGAGAAAAAAAAGATGATTGCCAATTATTATTAATAATACAACTTTGAACATTTTTTAAAGAGTTTTTATATATCCAATAAATATGCAATCAAATTTAAATTTGTCTAAATTTTATAAAGAAAATCCCAACTTGTTTGATCGAAAGCCTTTTCTATGTCCAAAAAGATAACAGCTCCGGAATTCTCTTTTTCTTAAAAATAACATATATGATCATCGATCAAACGAATATTGTTCCCAATAAAACGTCCTTTAAGATATGCATTTTGATCTGAATCATTTCAAACATTTAATACTTTTTTCAACATTCCTGCTAACACAGATGCTTTTATAATCGGTATTTAGGAGACTAAGCGGCCTCCAATTTGAAAGATTTTCTTTATCACCTTTCTTATGTAAAAGGGTTATGACAGCTCTAGTTTGTGAAATAGGTAAATTTCCTATTAACAATGATGTTATGAATAAATTTAACAGAATATGTTGCAAATTATTCCAAAAAAATTGGTTAAACTCAAAAGTCAAACCCTCTGAACCTGTTTTTTTTTTTTAGTCCCATTTAGGGCGTCATTACATTCTGTTAGTGTTATTTCTGAATCACAGTATCTATTTTGTTTTTCATTTAATACATTATCAACCTTAATGTTTTTTCAGATAATCATTCACTTCATTCTCTTTTCCTGTCGCCGAATACAAACGAGAAAAATATTCAACTTCAGCTACAATTATATCTTTCATATTTCTGTATATTATTACATTAACATTTACTTTAAACATATTCTCTAACTTAAAGTTTCTTTTTTCTAAGCCTAAAAATTATTTATTATTTCGCCCACCATCTTCATACCATTTGATTTTTGACCGTATTTGTGCACCATGTATTTCATATTCATAGAATTCTGACAATTGTCTTCTAACATGAGACAATTCTTCACCCTTGCCTTATTAATACAATCATCAATTGACATGTGTCTTATTTTCTGTTTGAAAATGTCCCACAAAACTGATATTTTCTCTGTTTTTAATTGTAATTTCGCTTCTAAGTCATTAATAAGAAAAATTACATTTTTCTGATAACCATCATCTTGCAAAAGTGAGTTATTCAGTTTCCAAATGCCTTTGCCTTTTGTTGCGGCCTTAAACTCTAATTTTAAATACAATGCATTATGGTCTGCATAAAAGCGACCTAAAATGACTTTAGCAAAATTATTCAACCATTCGGCAAACAGTACGAAGTCAATTCGAGACTATACAAAGCATGGATAAGATTGTTCATGTGTACATTCCCTTGCTTCAGGGTTTCGCACTCTCCATATATCAATTAAGTTTTTTAAAGAGATTTGGTAAATAAAAAGCATCATTACCATCCTTCATTATTCCTCCATTTTTGTCCTTTTTACAATTCAGGACCGTGTTAAAATCACCGGCTAAAACAACCCTTCTCCTGGAAGTATGTTCATGAAATAGTTAAAATCATTCTTGGAAAAAAGCCATTCTGTCGCTTACTACATTTGGTGCATATAAATTAATAAACCAGATAGTTTCACCTGCAAAATATACTCTTATTCCATTCAACCTGCCATTCTCAAGAGCAATTTTTCCTGAACATCGATAGCCTTGTTGCGGAGTAAAATACTTGTTCCGCAGCTTTGCGAAGTACCCACTGCATGAAAGGCACGATCGACCTGACCAATCGTATTTATCATAAATTGTATGTTCTTTCAAATTTGACACTCAGTTTTTCATTATCTCACAAACAAATATTTTGTGTAGCGCCCTCTGCAACAGAACTCCACTATCCCTTTAAATAGGTGGAATTTCAACTGCAATGCGTATTGGGAAATGTTGAGTTCTGAATTTGTCGGACTTCGTATTTTTAATTGAATATTCAGACCTTTATTCTAAGTAAAACATTCACAGAAATGTCATAAAAGCTAAGTATAATATAAATGTGACATCCTTCAAATGCACAATGTGAATACCTCTGTGTGATACGAGTTATTACGTATAAGTTACTAACGATCAAAGGCGTAATTGTTTGTTTACATGTATTTTAACTTACATTAACTCCCGTCTCCCCCTTCTCTCTCATCCTTCTCTCTCTCTCTCTTTCTTTCTCTCTCTCTCTCTCTCCCCTCCCCCTTTGTTATCATCTAAACTATATCCCACGATGATGATCACTATGCAACGGCTACATCGCAACCTACATCGTATGGCACAACTGGTGAGTGGCTCGGAGCATTGGTCACACTCCTCCTCAAGTTCAGGCAAAATAATGCTTTGTAAATAAAAAAAAAAGCATCATTAATGATATTTAGTCTCGCCCCTCCCAGCCCCTAGAAAACCTGTCGATGCCTACCCAAGCCCACCCCCCCCCCCCCTCCTCATGCTGAAGTTGCAAATGGTAGTTGTCCAGGAATATTATATATATTTGTTTTGAGGATATTTCGCAATCTGTGAATTTTGAAACACAATTTTTTTTCTCTAATCGGACTTTATACTACATTGTCTGTTTGGAGCCAGATAACGAATATTAAAAAAAACACCATTTTGCAAGAGTTGAGTAGGAAATGTTCGCATTTGCACAAACTTGTTTATTCTATCAATTTCGGCTTTATACTTCAAAATTCATGAATCGGTGAAGACCTTTCCTGTGTAGCTTAGGTTCGTCATACGGTTGTGTGCACTTGAGAGTTTATTTCTTTGATATTATTTTGGTGACCAGACATTTGCTCCTGCGGCAATAGACCATTTCGTAGTTAGCACATGGGTAAAATGACCCCAAATATCCACAGAATTTTCACTCATGGAGAAGTCCTACTTTGTGTGTGTATAAGAATAATCAATGCCAAAGTCATGTTTGTGCTTTATGAAAAGCTTTTGTTTGCCCTCTTGATCTTGTATCATAGAATGTACCGTAGGTGTACACATGAATATTAGGGACTTTTAGATTTACACGAAGACATTGGGGATTGCTACGATCGACGTCCTTTTAATGCACTGCCTTGAATGGACGTCACACGTATCAGTCCATGCAAATGTAAAAGTCCCTAATGATTACATAACATGAGCACGTATTCATCTTGGTAGGTTTTACAATTTTATCACAAATGACCTTTATCTGCCCATGCGCAGATAGTATTCACGAAATTGCTTTACTTCGTCAAATATGGTTAAGGTTGCTATTGGGTTTTACGTGAGGTGTACGGTTAGGATTAGTAATATTGTTGGGTCCAGGGTTCAAGTTAAGAAATTATGTTAGTGTATATAGGAAATAGACGAGGTTAAATCGTCACAAGAGCATGCGGCGTACACTCGATATTTGAAAACCATCTGGAAATGATTATCTTTAACAGAAGTCAACCTGGAGTGTGACAGCACATCCATGGCGGTTTTCCTGGACATAAGGCAGCTACCAAACGGAACGAATGCAGAAGATATTCATTTCGAGGATGAAGATTGCGTGGGGATCGATCATGATACTACTCAAATCGTTCTATACACCAGATACGACAAGTGTTCAACCAGAGTGCAAGTAAATAACATAAGCACAATTTGTACCGTCATTTTAGTTGTCCAATCAGAACTGAGGTGAATCTGTTAAACTGGCCTATCATTCTTTGAGCTTCGAAGCATTCATGATTCCTTTTTTTCTGTGCTTTTAATAGAGCCTTTCCCACCTAGAACCAGTGAGAAGATCTAAACGTCATATGCCGTTAAACAGTTGCACTATTACTGTTTGATAAAATTCCTTGAAGCAGAATAATTCTCTAGGCTATAATTATTGTTATTGTTATCATTATCATCATTACTACTATTATTATTATTTTTGTTATTGTTATCATCATTTTCATCATCATCATCATTATCATTATTATTATTATTATTATTTCGTTGTTGTTATTGTTATTATTATTATTATGATTATTTAGGAAACTGAGACCAGCATCATCTATTCTAACGTGGTGACGTACAACACACCTTTGATAAAATTCTATGAATTAGAATAATTTTCTAGGCCTATATAAACCAAAAGCATGTTTGACATGTATCATTATATCAATTCCATTGTTCCTATAGAGTGGAGATAGAGCTGTGTATTTTGTTCGAGTCGTGTTTCCAAATGATTTTACCGCTATATTAATCATGTTAAAAAGAAAACTGAGACATACTTAATCTTTTCGTAACACTCTTTTTTGAGGTCGATCTTCATTGTAATGCATAATTTTACCGCTGTTTCAATGTAGCGTGATTCGGGGTGTTGTTGTATACAGTGCGTATCAAAATAAAAGTTTACACAACTTTGGTAGCTTCTAATTAAAAAGTTTTCACCTGTGTGATCTTGAATTATATTTCATTGTAAAGAAAAACTAATACCCTGTCTAATTATACCATTTTCATAATTGTGCTACGAACGATGACTGAACAGGAGGCTTTTCAAAAAGTATTGTCGAAATCCTCGTGTACGCGTCTATACGAAGTTTGGGCTGAACATTGAATGTGGGTCAAAAGCCATTATATGTGTGTTATCTCATTCCAAAACAATTGCTCATTTATTTACATTGACCATTAGGGAGTTGGAAGAAAAATAGTTAACATCAACTCTAACTCAAAGAAATGCTTATTACAAGCAAAATTTATGATATTCTCTTCGTTATGATGATTGCAATCTTGCCTTCATCCGCAACCCTTGTTTAATATATCCTTCTCATTGGGTGATACAAAATGGATAAAGTTTATCAAGGATTTTACCTTCTTAAAAAATAAAAGTCTGTTATCACTTTCTTTGAAATGTAATCGTCATAAATGTTCTTTCTTGCACTTGGGTTTAGTAACCCAAATCAAAATCGCTATTCGAGTTAAACACCTTATGCTCCTGACGCGTGTGAAATGGCGCAGTGGACACGTGAGCGGTGAGGTAGTAGGCTGTTTAAGATAATTAAGGGTTATCCTGTCAATTGAAACAAGGTTCTGTGAAAGCCTAGTTATATTGCATTATTTTGAACAATGAAGCACTGAAGCACAGGGCACAATTTAACTTAAAAAAGGATTTAAGACCAGAGAAGCACATGCATAATTATGGCAAGACCCATTTGCTCCTAAAGCCCAATCTTAGAACAAGGCGATGTTGACAACACTTTTTAAAGACCCTGCTGCTCATTTACCCGTGGCAAAAATTATTATTAAAAGGGTATCATTGAACAGAAAATAAGTTACTCCTCATCATGAAAGCAATGTCCAAGTCATATTGGTTATGAATTTTTAATTAGGAGCTACCAAAGTTGGGTAAACTTTTTATTGATACGCCCTGTGTGGTAGTGGTTTATTCGCTGGCTCTCAATGCAAGGGTTGGGGATCCGAATCCCGGTCAACATATTAATGGCTACCCGGCAATTACTGAGGTAATGGTAAATGGACCTCCCTCGGGAAGAATAGCATTGATGCTGCGGATTGTTTTTGTATGAACAAAATCATTGTGATAATTAATTGTAGCACCAGAGGCTGTTATTATTGTTATTGTTATCAGTATTATCATTACTTATTCTATTATTATCGTTGTTATTGTTATCATCATTGTCATCGTCATCATCATTATCATTATTATTATCATCATCATTATTATTAAGGAAACTGAGACCAGCATTATCTATTCTAATGTGGTAACGTCCTACAAACCTCGGCCGCTCCCAGGCACGGAAATAACGCGGGATAACATCCTTATGATCCCTGTCAAATGTGAACTTGATCGCCATCGTCTCCTGGGTGATTCCTTCGACTCGAAGATCGGCGAGATAGTGTTCAACGAAACGGGCTACGGTGACTTTTCTCTTCGACTCGATCGCTACACAGATGCGACCTTCGACGAGTTCGCAGGTGACGACGAAGGCGAGATCATTCTTGGAGAACATCTTTACTTTGCGGTTAATCTGACAACTGTGGCTGGCTTGACTGTCTTTTTCGAGAACTGCTGGGCCACGCCATCTCAGTACCCGAATGACGCAAAGAGTTACAACTTCCTCGACAATGGGTAATGAAATCACTCTCTCATTTCATTTATCCATTTATTTATTGAAACAGTATTTTTTTTTCTTTTTAATAGATCAGCAAAAGCTGTTGTTCATCAAGTTCCTGATTAAGGACATTCAATTGTAAAACAGAAAAACAATTTGAATAGAACACTCTTAATGCAGAAATTGATTAAATTTATTAATTTAATTACAATGCTAAAAAATTACAATAGCATATTGAAAATATAATGAAAATGAGATACACGGAAAAACATATGATGCGCCTATCCGTAGTGGGAGCACTTTGGTTAATTGGGGAAGGCTCTTGGCTCTTATACGAGGGTCCCAGCATGGAGTAACTCCATGGTCCCAGCCTGCAGGTATAATTCTTGCGTGGTCCTTACATCCTTGGACAAGGTGTTTTGCCCGCAATTTTGTCCCACTCCACCCGGGTGTACATGCCTACTTCGCAATTATGGGGTAATAAGAATTGTAGGGCCAGTAGGAAAAGACAATACTAATGCTAATGTGTATACCTTAGGTTAAAAAAGTCCAAACTATTAATTATCAACACTATTATTCGCCTTACTTAGACCTATTCTACTTGTAACCTATTCATACTCTCGGGTGCTTCCCTGTCAAATTTCCCCATGGGAACCCATGTAGATATGCATTCTGTAAATGTGCAAGATAACATAACCTCCAAACTACACACACCTTATCACACAAATTTACACACAAATGTACACACGTTCACCCGCACATCTTCTATGGATATTTACTGACCGCTGCCAGGTCTGCCAGATTACTAAAATGACTTTTGCTTTTGATAAAACAATACACAAAATCAGTAAGCATAAAGAAATGTTTGCATAATGCTACCGTAATGATATATATATATATTTTTAATAGCTCAAGTTATATTGCGTCCATATCCATCCTAGAGGATGCTCAACGCACCTAAAGAGTATTTTTACCCTGGCATAAGCATTAATGCTGCACAATGCGCTGAAAGCATTCAAGGAGTTACTTCCTACCAGATACCCGTTTGCTACACATGGGTCGAGAGTGACAAATGTAGATCAATATGTTTCGTCAAAGGTCAGTTGTGCAGCGGTTGCGATTCGAACCGCGAACCATATGAACTACAGTCTGTTGAAATTTTAACTAGGCAACGTGACCTCTCGGTGGATAGTAAAACAAAACAAAAAACTCAGTGCGATTCCGTGATTCATACGAAAGAATAACATTCATTCGAGTGTTTCATCCATAGTTGCAGGATCTATTGACTATGACTACTGGTAGTGATACCAGAAAGCACCATTATTCAGTGGTCAAACAAGAGATTTTTCATTTTGTATATAATGTTGAAAATCTCAAGTCATATAAGTAATCACTGATTGATTTGATTAATTGAAAATGGCCATAATCGTACGGGACATATAGCACGAAATTGCTCATAATTCTCCAATTCGCGGTGGGCGTGTGTGTGCGGACGTGCGTGTGTGGGTGCGTGCGGGTGTGTGCGTGCGTATCTGTGAGTATCTTTGAGTATGTATGTAATGAGTTTTTACTAATCGCGTATCAATCAGATAAAGATTATGTACGTCTAGGACCGACCTTTAACGTCACCATCCGAAAGAGGTGACTCAGTATTGAACCCCGGGTATCGAACCTGGGTTCGATCAGAGTCGGTTTGTAGCCGAAGACAGACAAGAGAGCTGACCATGCACGGACATAACCACTAGATCAACTCACATTTATCATGACGGTTTTGTTGTTCTTTTCTTATCTCAGATGCTCAGAGGATCCCACTATGCGCAAATTGTACTCTTCTGATCCGTCATTCTCCAAGTTTGTCATCGACGCTTTCACCTTCATCGAGGAAAACACACAGGTGGGATGATAAGGCCATCGTTCTTTTGTATTTCCATTTCTTTTTCACAATGATAAAAGTACAAAAGTGGTCAAAATAATGAATAAAAGGCGTAAAAGGCTGCAAGAATGACAATAATAGGGTTTAGGGAAAAGGCTGAGTAAAGCTGAGATAATTGTTATCAGTGAGCTGTATCATGTTCACGTCTGCCTGAAAAAAAAAATCACAGTAGAAATATCCCCTGAAAAGGATTGATCATCGTTTTCGAAATATTACCGGAGGTAGCTGGAAATTTGTTGATAAATATTCCATGCCACATGAGTAGTTTTATATTAGCCTACCCATTTCGTTTATGTGTGCACTAAATGTCATTTGTCAGCATTTTCAGACATTCTGATTAAATTTCTTGTAATTTTGATGAATTCAAACCTTACACTTCTGTACTAAACAGGCGCGTACGCAGGATTTTTTCAAGGGGGGGGGGGGGTTAACATTTTTAAATCGGGCCGAAAATTTCGCATCGACTCAGCCAGCCGCTGAATAAGCGGGGGGGGGGGGGGGGGGGGGGGGGGAAGAGGACACTTTTTCTTCTTTTTTTTTGGTCTCGAAATTTGAAAATTTGACATTTTGCTCCGTTGGGAGGGGGGGGGGGTAAGGTTGCCTTTTTTAGGTCAGCCATGGAAATAGTTTTTTTATTATTATTTTTTTTTTCTTCAAAAAAACAAAATACAAAACAAAACAAAGGGGGGGGGTTGGGTTTTTTTTTAGGGGGGTTTATACACATAAAAATACCAAGGGGGGGGGTTTAACCCCCTAAACACCCCCCCCCCCTGCGTACGCGCCTGGTACTACATACATATTAAACCTTTCTATGTAAATTTTAGCCCATTTCTTTCAAAACGTAATCACATGACCAGTACTAGATTTATTTTGAAACATCCGTCTTGATGTTTATAATGATAGATGACGTTATAAGACCCTGTCTTATGGGGTACCTTGTCATTCATGCCATTTTGGGGGGAGGGTGGAGACCCGCAGACTTCCCCCTCTAGAACCACTACTGAATACCACTGAACGCAACTGAAGAATATGTTATCGTCATAGAGGTCGGTTATACATTTTTTTTCCATGCAGGTTTTCATTCACTGTGAGGTGCTCATTTGTAATGATAATGACCCATCGTCTCGGTGTTCCCAGGGATGTAAGTCTAGATTCAGACGTGGTAGCCGTCACACCCGTGGAACAAGCTCCACACCTCATCTTATCTCTAATGGACCTCTTTCAACTGCCCACACTATGCATGCCGCAGAAACACACAACTCTGGTAAATTCCTTTTTAAAGATACTTTAAAGGTGTCGTTTTTGTCTAGTGAAAACGTCATCGGACCGTGAATTACATGGTTTGCCTGCAGATATTAATATACATTTGTCCCCAACCGCCCAGGTTTTAAATGGGTACCGGTATGAAGGAATTACTTGAATGATGTGAGAGCTGAAAACGGTAGCCTAGCTAGCAGAGCCGGGGTATAAATATTGGAGCGCCTTGACCACCTTGCCTGATGGGCAATGAGCGGTTTAGAAATACCAATCATCATTATTATTATTATTATTATAATTATAACCTACAGACTAGGCCTATGCCAATTAACTGTCTCTATTTGTCATCTTGTTTTTGTGTGTAGTTTGTTTGTATTTCACTTTGTATGTATTCTATATGGTCAAATATCCAAATTTAAATCAGTTATGGGGAGCAGCCTCAATGTATCACCTACTTGTCCTGCCTTTGACATTTGACCTCTTGTTTTCTTGTACAAATCTTTTTATGTTGTATTTGTATTTTAATTATTGTCCTTCATGATGACATTGTTTTAATACTGTATTACATAAAATTAGCTTAATGGATTAGAAGTTTTAACCTGAAATTTCCTCTTTTCTTCATTCAAAACGCTTACAACGAGCCAGCGTCTGTTTCTCAGAAAGGGTCGTGTAAACTTATAAAATATAGAATATGTATGACATTTAGCACAATCCTTTATATAAATCATTTCTTCTTCCTAGTTTTTGGAATGGGGATCATTTTGTTTATTTTTCTCTTTTTCATTATTGATAAAATAATTAGGTATTCATGATCTTTAACTACAGATGGTTCGCCGGTCGGTATGGAATCAAGCATTTTGATTGGAGTGCTCGCGTGTATCACGTGTTTGATTGTTGCCACGGTAGCCGGTGTGCTCTACAAATTACCAGCGAGACGCATGTCCAACATTTATACCATCGAGGCATCGAGTGAAGGTCAACGAAAATTATAAATAAAGTTGAAATACCAGTTATCAAAGAGAATGTTGAGTTATGGGAATAGTGATGTGTTAATATAATAATATGTTAGTACAATAATATCGTAGAGACTTTCGAAAAATCAACTTATTAATGCAATTTCAGTATAACCCTGTCATATACCTTTTTTCAACGCGCGGACATTGCAATGACGTTTTACATAATTCGATCATGATTTCTATGAGATGTACAACAGGGTATTGAAATTCCCCGCGATTTTTTTTTTTTAATCCGCATTTCTCACTTTCCACCTAGGTGTAAATGGGTACCTGGTAATTGCTGGAGTAATAATGATTGCAGGGCCCTCATGAAGGGCCTTGATGCCGATGAGGCTACCTGAGTGTTATTGTTATTATTATCATTATCATTTTAAATTTAGTATTATTATCATTATCATTTTAAATTTACTATTATTATAACTATTTGTATTATTATTATTATCATTAGTATTCTTATAACTGTTATTAGTAGTATTATTATTATCATCATCATCATCGGCTATACTAAAAAAAAACTTGGATGATGTCGGTATGAAACGTATGCCTTGGACTTGTCAATCTACCTTATCATGGTTTTGATGGTACTTAAATTTGTATTAATCTAAATTAATCATCAATCATTATATAGGCCTAATGAACATGGTGAAGAGCGCAAATTATTGACATTAAAGTCTACTAAGTGTTATCATTTCGAGGATGTCATCGAGTGAAGTATTTAATTTGACATCTGATGTATCTATTGGAGACAGGCATATCCAATGTACCAATTTCATTGGCCTATTCGGGACTCCCCCTACAGGGACTGCTGATGTGAGCAGCTACCAACAAGTATTTGTTGATACCCGAACTGGCTATTGTTCGCAATTGCAAAATATATACAACAACGACAAAACATGCAAACGAAATAACTTTTTGTATGATTATTACACCATATTCGATATTTATGCATTCTCGAATTTATTCTACCTTCACTATGTTGTATCTTCGTTTGCTTATCTTTGGGGTTCATGGTTGATATACAGTTAAGACCTAAATTAGTGATACCCCTTGTAAATTTGATGTTTTTGTGTTTTTCGCAACTCAAGAATGAAAGGTGGACTGGTTCAATTAGGGCCTTTGTTGAAAATTGTCAGACGTAAACTTTAATATGTCTCATTCTCAAAAAAAACATAGAACAGGACATATAAACATTTTAAATACTTAAAGTTTTACGAAACTCTGTAAGGGTATGAATAATTTAGCTGTTAAATATACGTATGTTTTGGTTTTCAGGATTTATCATGCTTTCTTGCTATAGATATTTTCATAACTTTGCAATCATTATATTGAATAGAGGATTTTGCAATATTATAGTAGAAGCTTTACGTATCTTAAACATGTTATTAGTCTTTCGCCTGATGTGTTCTGATGTAGACTGCATCCCTTTAATAAACACACACTGTTATGCCGTTTTCCTCCTGTTGTCGATTCTACCACAGTTTAATATGAATATCCGAAATTACAGAGAAATCATTGCCAAGAAGAGAGCTTTTACCCATATTCGAATCAATAATGTTACACGAAAAAGCTCAAGCTTGTCCAACAAGTCATGGCTATAGCAATTTCCCCCGACGTAATACAGATGAATTTGAACAAACACCAGGAATTTATCTTTCAATATTAAAAGGTTTTAATGCTCTTAAAGGCTTTGATTACAGTAGTATAACAAAGGATTTGTGTTATTTGGTTGTGGTGGGTATTTGTAGTTAAAACACATAGCATTCTTTATTTGCCAATTTTCCTTGTTTTGTTTATCTTCTTCTTCTTGGCTTGGCTTCCTCCAGTTTGGAGAACTGCAGTTTGTGCAGGTGTTGGTAGTACACATATAAAAAGGATAGGCAGGTTTAAAGGTTGCATCACATATGTAGTGGAACGTTTACCATGGAGGTCAAGTATAATGGTTTTAATTTTCTTTAGACCGTAAAAGTAAAAGCTGCGTTGTACATGTATACGTCTTTAAAACATGACGAAGAAGTTTACAAAAACCTTTATGACATATTAATACACTACAAAAATAGATACTTTTCTGTTGTTTTTTCTCTTTGTTTTCGATTCATGCCCTAAGAATTGTCTTGTATTGAATCTGAAGTCCGTCTTCAAGCAAATATAGCTGAGCTTCATTTTTTTTCTCTCTGATTCGTTTTTACATTTATCACTTTGATTGTCATTCTGTTTACTTTACTACCTAATGTAGTTTGTCAAATGAATCATCGCTGTTCTACCAAAGGTTAAAACATTTGCTTTGATTTCATACATCTAAATTCAGACGGGCCATCATTTATGAAAACAGATATCAAAACTGGCAAGAAAATATATTTCTGTTACTCTAAATGAAAATAGTCGATTGGATTTCCATTGACGTCGACCAATGCCTGTGATTAGCGAACATTTACCTCCTTAAAGGGGCACGTTTCCGCCAGTGTAGTTATCGGAACATGCCATCTGCGTAAGAGCCGATTTCTGTTGGTGTCAATAGGCAGCTATAGCACCGTCCGCCAGCGCGTACGTATTTTGAACATGCCCCTTTAAACTATTACTTTTCACCTTAAGCATGACAAGTGCAAGGTCTCGCGGTTTGGTCAATAGGTTCCTGGACTATTGAGTACAAGGTACGGGATTCGAATCCCTGTCACAACATTAAATGTCCTTTGCTACTATATTAATATACGTTCTGCCACTCTCCACCCATGTAAAGTAAATGGGCATACCGAATAGGAAGAAATTCCTTCAATTCTCGAGCTCCTTATCTCGATAAAGATTTTGCAACAATTTTTTTCCATTCTTCTTTTTTCCGCTTTCGATTATTACATTATTCTTTTGAACCATCTTTACCGCATCAACAAAGGGGGCTATTGTAATGAACGAGTATGTAGTATAACTCATAATTGATGAATACAGATCATGTAGATTGTGTGTAATGACTGCGACAAAAAATTGCAAAAAAAAATGTATGAAAGAAAATCATAAAGCAATAAAATACATAATGCCTCAAATTGACTGATAACTTGCTTTATCTTTTGTTTCGTCTTTTTGATTATTTTCCCTCTATTTTGTAAGATTGATTTTTGGTTTGTAACTTTTGTGTTTGTCACTTTTTGTGCTCATAAAGCTTGCATATTGGAACAAGAATATCAAGACAAAAAATATTTTTTCTACTTATGATAATTATGACGCTAGAATTTATAATTAATGACACTTTGTAAAATCAGAATTTGTTGGTAAATTTGCTGTTCAACATTTTGAGTTACTTCCTGTAAAAGAAATTAATATATTATATAATATTCAAGGAATTCATGGAAAGACAGAGTGTGGAGATGCAGACCGAGTCTATCCTTTATAAAAAGAGAGAAGAAATTGTGAAAATGACACATAGACGAGTGAGAGACAGAAAGAGACAACCCCTCTCATCCTATTCTCCAGGGAGCAGTCAGCCAATACAATAAATAGTACAAGATATGATAGAAAATGGATTGAAGCGTGCAAGTGATCAGAATTTAGATTTTATACAAACTAACAGTTAAATAATAACACTTCTTCTCCAAGGATGATTATTTCGTTTTAAAATATGTTAATATAATTATAGCGTTAAAAAACATATATAAGACCAAAAAAAAGACAAGATAGTAGTCATATTGTTAAGTCTTGTTTATTTGAATACTTTCTTTATAACCTGCAATCATTACAGAAAGACAAAATTATGTCATACAAAAATAATTAAATTGAAAGCGATAATATTATATAAAAGCATTGTAAAACATACATGACAATATATTTTACTCGTACACTAAACTGTTGTTATAAATTGCATATTAAAATACAAAATGGCAAAATTAAATACAAAACATGTTTACATAAATTACATTAAGTGCAAAATTGTCAAAATGTTTAAAAATGCTAAAATGCACTTAAAATGCACTTAAAACTTTAATGTGTCTATTGAAATACCAAAGACTAGCTGAACAAGTCTGAAACACTATCAATTAAGTACTGGCATATTAATATTAATCCATTTTAAGAAAAAAAACTTTGCTGGATAATATTCATTAAAAAAAAATATATATGTATAGATGGCAAATTAAACAGTAATGCGATTATAATACGGAGATTACAGTTCCAACGATAGCAACAACAATATTAAACTTATTTGTTTATATGGTATATGTATAGTATACGGTGTACAATGAATGAATTAAATCGAATAAATAGTAATATATCTTATTTTTAAATTATCATCATCTTATGAAATAGAATTGAAGTCATATATCTGTATTAACGAAACATAACATTACAAAGTCAAAGGTATTTTTCCGCTTTCAAGGTTTCTGTGACCTGCATTCTTCATTTGATGTTCACCACTGATTTTCAAAATAAACAAGATATTACTTTTATATACTTATGTTACTTATCAAAGGTCTTTTCTTTGCTTATAACCCCACAAGGATTGGGTTTTTCCTCATAATAAGATGTAATTTTTCGCACTGCCACCTCACAAATCTTAAACTTGCTCGCTCCCAAATAAATTGTCAGACCATCAAACCCAGCTGCAAAGTATGATGCTTAAGCAATTTCTTGTATGGTGTATTAAGTGAATCAAATATTGAAATCATCCCTGATAATGTAACCACAATGTAGGGGTATATACCAATGTAAAAAAAGAAGTATATTTCTGCTTGGAGATTTCCCTTTGTAGGTGCCCCTTTTCCCGGAAATTGCTCTATTTTCTTGGTGCCCCCCCCCCCCCCCCCCACCCACTTTGGAAGTCGCTCGGCCGCCCCTGCCCTTCGACCATAATAGCTTGGGCTTGATAGGGTATATTTATATACACCGGTTATGGGGACATTTATATACACCGGTAATGGTGTTTCTTATTTCAAACGCTATATATTGATATATAGTTTCGCCTCGAATGGCTTTACATATCGGATATCCTACGTTGAGATTGCTTTAATAACCCACGGCAAGTCCAAGTCCCTATAACGCGGTTTCATACACATGTCCCCATAGCACTAGTTTTATAGTATGTAATTATATATATATAGAGAGAGAGAGAGAGAGAGAGGGAGAGAGGGAGTGATTATATATAAAATAATAGAGGAAGAGAAGGAAATGAGAAGCAAGGAGAAGAGGAAAGAAATTGTTACCTAGTGGGCCAGGGTTTGCAAAAGTAAAATAATTCACTGTTGCCCAGAGGCATATGCGAGCCCTCATCATAATTATAGGGTACCCAGGCAAAGATAGAAATATAAAATATAACACATTAAATAAAGGCCCTAGGCCCTAGGCTTAACTGCTCTTTGAACGAACAATTAACAACGACAACAACAATAACACCAACTAAAGCTGGCCTTTTTTATTATTAGTGGAGACGGTTTATTTCATCAAGAGCACCAAATGTTCCGGACGGATTTGGCGCCGCACCGTACTCTCGTCGGTACCAAATCCGCCTGCGTATCCTATCCGTCGTGACACGGTTCGTTGGTAGGTGACGCATTTTTTTGGTGACAACAATATTCCGGGAATATGTTCGACGAATTTATCCCATATCGACGTCCAATATAGTTGTTTTGATTTACCGGTAAGAATCGCCCACATTTTCCTCTTATTTTGTTTCCATATCTCCTTGTAGTGATGTAGAATGAAGGAATATGGTCTAACTACGTTGTTTACGTTTCACTGTAATAATTTTGATAGTATGGTCCCATGTATCGCAAATTGCGTACCGTTCTGTACTATCACTAACTTGATTTGAACTTGTCTGATAAAGCCGGCGCCGCGCCAGGGACTCGTTTCTCGAAACCAATGACGAGACAGTCGTAGCTGTGTCCACCTAATACGGAGATGTTTCTGATGTTCCTATGCCGTTTTACGAAGAGTTTACTCGCTAGACATCTCATGAATTCTCATTATTATCTGAGGGGCCGGGTCCACAATTTACAAGCTTTGCTTTTCAGTGGACCTCTCCATTTTCTCAAAATATAAATGCAATTAAATTTTAAAATTCATTTTTTTGTCTTCCTAAAATGTATAAATTATTATTAAGATTTGTTTATTACCAATGTAACTATGTTTTGTATACATTTTTACATTGTATTCGTTATTATGTATTGTATTTTGTTGGAAATGAAAAAATAAAAATGAAATGAAATGAAAAATGAATTTGATACTAGTAGTATCAGGCCTTATCGTCGAGAATGTATTGTCACTGTTAATGTTATTAATGTTAGCATGATTGACATGTCAAAATCTGGCTTGGTGTGACATAATGTTACGTATTGACATTGCCATTGAATTTAAGTTGCGCTGAAGTTAAGTAGGCCCTCTCTCACTTAAATTTGAAGCCACTCGAGCAGATCGATCATTCAATGGGAGCTCATAGGCTCACTGTACAGCGCTCAATGCGCAAAGTTCTTCATGCTCCCTGGCCTAGCACATAGAACTTTGCGAATTGAGCGCTGTACAGTGAGGTGACGCGCTCACACATAACTGACACACACAAATGGCACTGCACACACATAAAATAGAAAAGTCAACAAACATTTCAGAATAAATTTCCAATTTGTACCTTAGATATAACGAAAACAAGAATTTTTCAAATTTAAAGAAAAGTTACGTAAGATTTAAACTTAGTTGAAATACTTAACCTTTTAAGGATTCTGAAAAAATTGTAATATATAGAGGGTATGACTGAAATATCATGATTTTGGTATCGGATCAAAATGAAAATCGCAGGCTTTCTCCTCGCACCAATATCTTATAACATTGAGCGAATGGAAGCCAGCGATAGTCAATAAGAAGGGCCCTTAATCCTTGTAGACGCCAATTTAGGAAAATGAGGCTGCAATTCTCTAATGTTGTACCCTTTTATTCTTTTGTCCACAGGAGCCTGACCAAGCGGTTGACACAAGGTATTGGGACTTCAAAAAAAAGCTAGACAGAGATATTCTTGTCCAGGTCTAGTAACAGTTTCTACCTGCAGAAGTTTACCCAAGCCACTCAAATTTTCGACCATGCTCACTGTTACATTCTAAAAAGTACATGAGAAAGGTTAATGAGGTAGCTGCTTACTTAGGATGTGGAGGAGGTTTCAGTTTTCAATGGCACTCTACAATAATTAGATCATCTGAAAAGAGATAAAATGTCGGATTATTCTTTTCGTAATACTGGCAGTGGGCGCCAGTCCAGCCTCAGCGTACAGGGCGAGTCCATGGGCAGAGACACTTCAAATGGAAGCGTGAAGAAAAACTACAGATATCGGGTGATATCCAATGACTCCTCAGTGGACGAGACACTCTTCGGATCACATAGAGATAGGAATAGGAAAGCACAGGTTGAATGGAGCGATCATCCACCACAAAGAACGCCCTCTAGTGGGGCAACGAGGAAATCTCCAGCAATCAAACCAATGCTGACTGTCTCCCCGTCCATGCCTAAGACGAGGAATAAGTATCGGATTCAGCAGCACACACCGACTTACGTCGACCACTCCCTCTTTGGGGGACCTCTCGAGGAGCCCTCTTTTGAGGCACCATGGACGGACAAGAAGGCCGATAAACGTAGAAAAACACCTCTTTTGTGGGGGTCCCCTGTTCAGGGTAGTCTTGAATTTGAATCAAGGTCAAACTCAAGCATGGGTGAATGCCCTGGGTCGGCCAGTGGAAGTCGGCCTGGGTCGGCCGCTGGAGGTCGAAGGTCATCCACAGGAAGCAGGCCTCAGTCTGCCTCGGGGAGGCGCTCAGCAACACCTAGTAAACCAGCTCCTTGGAAGTAATAGGTTTGAGCTACTTGAACTTTGATTAATTGGTAGATATATGAAACCCCTGAAATTAGTTTGTGGGAACCTTTGATCAGCCCATTAGAAAAACAAAATGCCATGTGCAAAGTTTGATATATATATAGTAACTGTTTAGTTACAATCCATATTAAATTCTTAAGCTGTGCTACGTTGCATTTTCATGTTTGTACATACATAGTCTATCAAAACACGCGACTGTTTATTAATTGCTGTTTGATGTTAAAATGATAGGCCTACATATATATACATTATATATATACATGTACATGTCTGTTTTGTGTCCTAATTTGTTAATACACATACAGGTGTATACACTGCAGATGATTTTAGAGTGCTTATTTGATTGCTCTCGGGTCCAGAATCTACACTTTTGTGAAATAAGTTGTGTCAAGGGATTATTCATGAATGCTCTAAAAGCATAGAATTTTCAAAAGCGAAGATTAATCTTCTTTTTTAAATGAAATCAATATTTGTATCAAACAGCAGAGGGGGGATTCAGGGAAGAAAAAAGAAGAAGAAGATTTTTCTAATTTTTAAAATCTGTTTGGAGCATTTCTGGCTCCGAACAGACGATATATACCGGTACATGTACAGTGTATATTATGATTGTGTTTATTGTATTTATGTTTTTGTGTTTCCCATCCAGTTTCTCATCAGTGCAAGTACAAATTATATCTATTTCTTTTCATAAGCATACATGTATATTGTTTGTAAACAATACTTTTGGATGTGTAACATTATTCAAAGTAAACTTTCATCTTTCATGTTGGCACGTGACAGGCAAATGGTAATTAAAGGCCCACTGCACTACTTGTAGCTACTTGCGCCCTCTATGTAACAAACAATGCCTAATCGGTGACCATTGGTCCCCCATGATCCTCTTTTTCTTATGTTAACTGAGAGCTGAGTTGATGAGATAACCACCGGTCCAGTGACCTTGCAGGGCAGTCTAATCCCTCCTGTAAACTACGGCAGATAAGCTTTAATACATTGCTTTTAGGCTATTGCTTAAAGTGAATCTAGCTTTTAGGTTTGCCCAGGTATAGTTCTACTAACGCATACAACTTTGTCTCGGGGCACAGTATCGTTTTGAGATGTCCTTGGGCTATAGTTTTCATTGTGCCCCTCAAAACAGTCATTATTTGTATACATGTCCTGGGACCTTTCAAAGAAGCTGAATGAATGTGGATGAAATAATATTGTAATTGTATATAATGTTGTCATCATATCTACTTCGTTATGTACAGCTTTAATACATACCTTTTTAATATGACCAAGTAAAAAATACTTGGTGCAAAAGGTGTGATCGAGCCCGCTCTCCAATGTGATTTGTTATGAAGTTTTGGTTGACACTCAGAGACGTTTCTTCTGTATTCTCTGATCATTTTGATTTGTAATTTGCATCATAATATAGTATAGTCCAGAAATGTTACCGGTAGTTATACCTCTATTTATTGCTATAACAAGCTGTTACAGGAGTAAAAGTTCTCTACGCTGCACGTAATACGCTCATAATTGATTAAAGTTTCCATAAATTGTTATTGTCATTGGGCATACACAATATATGTAATTTGGTGGTGAGGTCAGCTGGTAAAAGAATTTTTTTGATGTAATGATTGCCTATTAACTCTTGGGTATGAGTGTCCCATGTATATGAAAAACAGTTTTTATTTGTAAATTATAGACTACTTAGACACTAAACAGGTTTGTATATGAATTATGTGCCAAGAATGTACTACATGTATGTACAGTTGGTATATTTTGTGTAAAAAACATGTTTATAAATAATGTGAAATTAATTGTTGAAGGTTGTTTCGAGATAAAAGACAAACATAAATGAAAATATCGTGTGTGAAAGTAATTTCTTTTGTTGTGCATTTAGTTACCATTATACGACACTTGAAACATGAATATATAATGCAATGTAAGTTGTTTTACACCATGAAATCTAAACATAGATAGCACATGCTGTTAAAGACGGGTTAATTGAGAAAGAGTATCACACATACCAAGCTACCGACAGTAGGAAGCACATTCCAAAAGATGTTGTGAAATGGAATATATGGTATTGTTATGTTCCAAATGAATAGATGATACAATCAGAAAAATACATATTTACTTGCCTTCATTTGTCCACGGGTTAAAATCTAGTAGGAATTTCTGAGCATTGTTTTACAACTAATATGTCTCAAGATTTAGTGTAGATAAATTCTACAAGATTTGATTTACAATATACATTATGTACCAAGTCCAGCTTGATACTAAATGCAGTAAATGCTGAATTGTTGATGTAATTAAAAAAAATAGCAATCAAGTGTTACAGTATATCATTAATAATGCTTGCTTTAAAGACAATTTTACATATTTGAAAAGAAGACAACATACCTGTAGTCAAAAATAATTTTTAGGCTATATTCACATGTAGACTTTATTGCAACATAGTCTCGTAATAGCTTTTTTGTTTCATCTATTGTAGACATACATGAAAATAATAATGTTTAATATACAGTATAAACATATAATCAACAAATTAATAATAAAGTAAATTGAATGTGCAAAAAATATATTTGGTTGCATTTTGCTGGAAGATATGAAAATATGTTGCATAAATTATTGAAATATACAAACATGCATAGATTTAGCAAAGTGACAATGTGACCAATTGGAACTGCAAGTAAGTGCATTGTTATTGAACAATCTTTTAATTTTTTTAAATAATATGATTAGAGTCTTCTTGGCTTTAACTTGGAGGGTTAAACTTTGTGTCAGTCATGTGCAAACCATGGTGCAAGAGGCTAGAGCTATATGAGATAATCTTTCAATGAAATATTTCTCACGAAGGAGAACATTGGAGAGACCTAGAGAATATTTAGTATATACTATGAGAACATAATTTGCCATATGTTAGAGCTGATTAGCATTGTATTTGGTATTAGAGTCTAGTCTAAATGACTGAACTGCATTCCTGCTGACAATATGTGCTACACAATACACATTGAGGTATACACCCTGCTAGACTTGATATGTACAACCTTGTTTTGACACCAGGGCCCAATTGCATAAAACTTACCGTTGATGTAACTTAGTCACCATGGCAACATCACTCAACAGCCAATCAAATCAAGGTTTCCTAGAAAATTACAATTAATGGCAAAGTTACCATCAATGTAAGTTTTATGCAACGGGCCCTGCTCTACTAAATCTAAAGAATTAACTAATTTGTGTTACTTTATACAAAAAAGTAAAAGTTTTGATGCTAACATAGGTTCTACCTCTAGTTTTTTGTTGTTGTAAATTCCTTTAGAGTGGTGAAGGCTTGCAAATGCTTGAAACTACATATTAAAGTACAATGTACTTTCAATTCTCTCCTAACCACAAGTTCACATCATGATTGCATTTAAATGTATAATTAATATTATCCTGAGAATGATCTTAGTGCATAGCAAATGGAAATATATTAACAGGTAATGCAGTGTTGATATAAGTCTAAGGAATGAAAGAAAATTCCATCAATTACCTCAATAAAAATTAGGGTAGAACAAAATACCACACAGGTTTATTTTGTTTATATTTTCGAGAAGTTGCATACACATGTACTTGATACACCAAATACTAGACTCCCCCATCAAAAATATATGTTTTCACTTAAGTTACATGAATGGCCTTTACCAATAACTATTTTTAAAAAATGTGATGGAATCAAAATTTGAACAACAAGAAACCCAATTTCTTCCTCTTAGTCAGAAGACTTTGGGAAATGGGCAAAAGCATGAAAAAGACTACGATAACATAACAAATATTGCACATCATAATTGTTTAGGTCGCATAGTAAGTATGAAATTGACACACTGATAGAAACTTGAATAGTATCACAAGATTGTCTTTTGACAATAAAACTCAATGGAATAAAAGTGACATAATAATACATGTATTATATGCAATTGATTGATTGATTGATTGATTTCTGTTTGATTTTCTTTTTCTTTTGCATTTTTACAAATATATAACAAACAAATATTGCAAATTTACACATGACAAAAGAATATATGTAGAATAAAGTAAGGCTGGGTGTAACTAATCGAGAACATCAAACAGGAGGGTTGACAAAACACTTCATATTGACGCTATAACTGTACAAGGACAGTTTATACATAGACACTAGACACCAGAAACTATATGTAAGCACTATCCTGAATAACAAATGCATCACCAGATTATGTACCAATAGGGCAATTCCAATTGGTAATTTTTGAAATGTAACCAAATTTAATGCATACGTCTAGTTTGTCAAGTGCCATCAGCTATTACAAATATTTGCACTGTACATGATGAGAATTCCATATGGTGGTAGGCTAGAGCACAGTGCATTACACAAGACATGTCTCTCGTAAAAGTGAATGACAACACCGGTTATTGGGTAAACATCAGAATGGTGTCAAATTCCCAACGAAAACCTGACTACTAGGCGTCTTTATTATGGAAATAATTGTACATGTAATTTGGCATATTTTCAAGAAAGACATATCTGTGGAAGCAAATCAAAAATGGAAGTATACGATATATGAAAAGCAGCTGTGGTTGATATGTATATACATATATAGCTGGACTATTGAAACATTAAGTACGACAAGTGTATCTACATAATGCACTGACATATTTACACATAGACATAGCACATAATACATTACTTAATATAAATTACATTTCACTATGAACTCTTAACAGGTCCAGAACACAGATCATTTTTGAAAAAATTATATTGGCATAAAATTTGAAGTTACAATGCATTAAAAATAAAAAGAATCTATGTTCTTCTGAGAACATTCAACAGTCTGCAATTTGGGCACTGTTGACAATTGGCTCATTAACAAAGGACACTAAATTGATTGCATCTTCATTTCAATGTAAAAAAAACACATTGTATATTGGAATTATGAGAAACGTATTGGTTCTGCACTTACTATTGGTTCCAGATGAAAGTATATTCTTGATATCTTTGTTTTCTAATCTTCTATGATAAAAAGGTATTAAAATGATTTTTTTCATTTTCATATACGTGCAGAGGAAAAAGGAAATGAAAATACTGACTGACTTTCTAAAAAATAAGATGTGCAGGCACATGTTTATGTACTGGTACATATCTGAATAAGCCTTTACAAAGTCTGAGCTAAAATTTACATCAGAAGTACAAGAATAAAATCAGACATATGTTGGAAACATGTGAAAATTTGTCTTTTTTGTATTAAAGGACAAATTTAAAGTTTAAAGAAATTGACATGTATATATATCTCTTTATAATACAGCACTGAATAACTGATTTGTGATTTTACGTTTAAATCATAGGGATCTTTATTGCACATTGAAGGATAAGAGTAGCTCCTCCCAAGGTGTTTTAAACAAGAATAACCAATAAATATTGACAACTTTGCGCAGCTTTCATTTCCCTGTAGAAAACTTCAACCAAAAAAAGTAAACAATCCCTACTTGTAACTCTATATTTCAGTTCATAACATTATTAAATTTCAAGAAGCTCAATTTCTTTGTTGACTTGTTCTAAATATATTCAAGACAGATATTTTCCATCTTCAAGCTGTTCATCTACACGAGAAGCATTAATGTGCTCCTCCAGGACTTATTTCATCAAAGTTTTTATGGTTAGGACTAGGATTACAGTTGGATTTTAGGTTTAAGATTAGGTTGAAGTTGAAGTTATGAAATTTGACTTGGCCTGACTTGGGGCCAATCAGGTATAATACTTCTCTGGACAACGCAACCGCAGTAATCATGTGCATGCAACATACGCGAAATTCGGTCTGTTTCGCAAACGCTAGCGCGCGCTGACCATGTAGAGATTAAGTCGTTGACTACCGCTAATGAAGTCTCTTCGTTTACGTGCAGTTGTCCAAAAGAAGTCGTAGATGGCGTTAACCAGTATTTGCCAAGCTACACTCCTTTAGTTTGCCACAAAGTTTGCCCTCCAGAGGGCGACCTTTCCATCCTTGCTGCCTGCCCCGGTGATGACGTAACGTAACTCTGCCTGGCACATGGACCTGATAGCATCTTCATGAGCCTCGAGCTCCTTCTCGTACTCACAGGTGTTGGCATCGAAGAGGTGAATCTTGCCTTGTTTGCTACCAGCCCATATCTAAACCGATATAAACAATAAAGTAATCAAAATAAGAATTATAAAATTGCTGTTGTAACTTTAGTTTCCACTGAAATGACCGCACATTGAGCTAGACTACGGAGAGTCTTGGCTGCCGGGATTGGCTTTTCTTTTTGGAATAATGAGCTGATCTCCAAAGAGGATGGAAGGGAAAAGAGGAGGATGACATCATAGCTACACTAGGGGGGGGGGGGGGGACAGCTTTGGGTATTAGTATAAGTGATACAGGGCAACATTAATGTAGACCTCTGAAATGGCTTCTTTACATTTTATCTAAAACCTAGCCTGATATGTGTTATGAGATAAAAATGTATTGAATATGTTACAGAACAAACCACTGAAGACTGCTATTGCATTCCATATGATTTATGAAGAAAATCTTTTCATAGACAGATAATAACAAAGCATTTGGAGGCAGAGGCTCTAAGTGGAGAATGTATAATATACTGACCCTGGTTCCTACGGCAACAAGCTTGCTGATACCCCGGCATGATATGGTAAGAAGCTTCTCTTGTTTGAAGGTGTTCACATTCCAGCAGGCTACCTCTCCTCTCCTACCACAACCTGTCCAGATCTGTCAAAGAACAAAGATTAGCTGTAAGTAACGTTCTATATAATGTTATTAAAATCTAAATAAAACTTAAAATGATCATCATTATTCAACACCGTCATCCCCACAATCAAGATAAGATGAAGCACCATTCTCATTATCCTCCCTCTCCTCCTCCTCCCCATCCTCATTATATAAAAATCCCCATCCTCCTCATCACCATCATCATCATCATCACCATCATCATTTTCATCTTCCCTATCATAATAAACATCCTCCTCCTCATCATCATCATCTTCATCACTACCATCAGCATTATTCCCCTCAATTCTATCATCACCACCATCATCTTCCTCATCATCATCATCTTCCTCATCGTCATCATTTTCATCACCACCACCATCCTGAATCTTTATCATCACGATTTGCATCATCTCCTGCCTCTGTCTCAGCCTCATAGTCCCACTCATGATACTAATAGTTATATAACTTACCCTGTTCCCTAGAAGAAGGAACGACTCAATGAGGGATGGACCCCCATCTTTGTCAAGATGCTGGAGGCTGCTCAGCTCACTACCATCCAGGCCTATGACTTTGATATCAGTCTTGGTACCTGCAAAATACAATACCAGGTGGAGTTTAGCTATCATAGAGTCAGGGACATTGACGATCGAGGGAATGAAAAACATTTTGCATATTGCAAATGTGTTCACAGCATGATGAGATGATAATCATATAAAAAGTAAAATCTCATTCTCTTGTCTTTTTTAAAAGTAAACAAATGTTTGCTGATAATCATTGAGACCAATAACAATGATAAAGATACATCAATAATAATCATGATCATATCAATAATAGAAATAATAGACAAATACAGGACTGTTTCTAAACACTTTTACAAATGACAATAATAATAAAGAAACTTGAAATAATAATAATCTACTGCAAAAGAAGTACATGTCTAAAATGAGCAAATTAAAAGATATCAACATGCCATAAGACTGCATGAATAATATCATAATATATGAGACAGGTGTACTATATGATGATGATAGTCATGCTGTTGATAATTGCAAGGAAACTTACAGCACCATAACTTGTCATTGTACCATCTCATTGAGACGAGCGTCTTGGTATTCTTCAGCTGTATCTGATGTTTCTGTGACAAGCTCTGCGTGTCCCAACCAAAGATCTGCCCATTCAAGCTGCATGTGAAGGCAATCCTGAATACAGAAATGCAACATATTGATTGAAACAAGGTGTATACAATACTAGCATAATGAAAATAATAAAATGCTCAACATGAAATGTAATACAGTACTGGACAAGGTCACAAGTTTGGTGGTATGGTCGATTTTTCTTTATGCATATACAAAACCCAAATCAATCACTTTTCTTTAATAAGCTTTGAAGGTTGTTAGAGGATATCATCGCTAAGATTAATCTGTGCTGCCAAACAAATCTGTTTTCTCTTTTGTAATACACTGTACACTGGGGATTCCATAGCACATTTTTTCCAGATTTATCAACATATAAACACGTCGTTTCACATTTGTAAATTAAGTTCCAGAGCAATTTCGTTTCTAAAATAATCATGATACTATACTATACTATACTTTGAATGACAACAGATTAAACATTCTACTGTATCTATATAACTTGTTGGCTACTGAATTATCTATTCCCCGTAGGCTTAATACAGGGATCATCAAGTTCAACACAAAATGCTTCATTTTTAGATAAGGTCAAAGGTGTGGAGGTAATTGGCTAAGCGTACAACTAACTTTTGAAAATGTATGTTGTAAAATCATACTTACTTGCCATCTTCTGATATGGTCATGTCAGAGACAATGTCGTTATGTTCTACAAGCTGTTTGTTTGACAGGCAGCTGGGTATGTCAATGATGTAGATGGTTGTATCGAACGACCCCGCCCATACCTGCTCTCCTCTCACAGACAGCAGGCAGCACTGTTACACATACAAAGAAATAAATGAATGATACATAATTACTAGTAAGGTGAGTGTTGAATAAACTTTGAATTGAATTGAATTATCAAACGTAACTATTTGGCCATTAAAAATACCTTTTTTTTCATGAAGAATTTTAATCATTCATCTATTATAGGCTAGTTTGATGATAAAAGGAACTTTACCCAATTTTCATTTGAAAGTAAAATTATTTGAATTCCAACTAAGCTTGCTCAATACACTCTTCCCTCTTTGAAGGTTATAAATGATATAAAAATAGTCAATGTGACTTTTGAACAAAAAATAATGTTTGTACTAACAATGTACATTAAATCATGACACCGACCTTGGCAATGTACAAATATATTCAACTTGAAGTCAAAAAGACTTTTTAAAAAGATGAGAAGAACTGAAAAATTTACCACTCTGTCCTTGGCGTCGGCAAATTCCGCCTCCAGCACGAAGTTGCTCCCGTCGAAGACCTTGACCTTGCCTGACCCCATGGCGCACCAGAGTTTGGGCGTGGCCTCCTCCTCGCTCATACTTCGGTCTGAAAAGACAGAGGCTGAGGGATGTACAGAGGGTATAGTAAGGGGTCAGTTCTGATGTGTGTGCCGTCGGTGGGGGCAGCATGCATCAGGGGATATTTATCCTGACATACTACTAACTAGGCCCCTCTTGATCAAAAGGTATCATCTATTCTAATAGCACTGATCCGGAGAATTCATGAATTATTATTGTAGTGTAATTACATTTTTGGTAAAAATATTTAGATTTGTTTCTGAGTTATTACACGGTTAGAATAAATTCCACACGGCAGCATACTTACCTGACCCAGCACAAAGAAATATCTAGCTGAAATTCCTCATAAACTAAAATACACAAACAAAACTATTTCACTATTCACTTCAAGGACCTTAGAGGATGATAAACCGTGCGTTGTGTGGTGAAAAAGAAATATCTAACCTGTTGAATTATGTGCATTTTGAAAACAGTGTAGTCACAAACAAAGGAAAATCGCTAATCATGCATAGCTTTTCTAGAAAATGGTATTACTATGAGTTTTTAGATTAAAAAAGAAAGATATAAAAGAAACCCAAAGAACCATGCAGACATCAAGCTGAGTGGACTTACTGCCCGGTGTGTAGACCATAGCCTCCACTGTAGTCCTCTGTGCCTCGTTACTGGATGGGTTAAACTTGTGAACCAAAGCTGAGCTTGTCTCTGGTGGAACCCGTCCCATGCCCTCCTCTCTCAACCGTGAGAAGTGACACAGATGCTGAAACATAAAAGGAAAGAAAAAGAAAATTTTGTTGTGAAAAATTGGTAATTGGATGATCATAGTCTCTCAATTCATTGTGTCTTAATTGCTATCAGATCGGTTAAACTTGTGAACCATGGCTGAACTGATCTCTGCTGGAATGCACCCCATGCCATCCTCTCTAAACAGTAAGAAGTGATGCAGATGTTTAAATTAGAAATTTTACCAAATTTTGAAATAAAGACTGCTTAAAGGAAAGATCATGTTTTTACATTATGTTTAGACAACAACAACAACTAGATGGAATTTTGACTGCGCGCAGTCGAAAATGATGCCTCCGCCATAGAGCAATTTAAACAAGTTTGGAGTTTAAATCTCCAGTGGTTCTTGAGATATCATGATAACAATCTCAATGTATGGCATTTCGTAAGTTGACCTCTGTGACCCTTGACCTTTGACCTACGTGCTCCAAAATCTAATCAGATTGTCTTCCTATGGTGATACACACTATCATTAAGTTTGAAGTTTAAATCTCCAGTGGTTCTTGAGATATTATGATATGGTGATACATACTATCATTAAGTTTGAAGTGAAAATTCTCCAGTGGTTCTTGAGATATCGCAATAACGATCTCAATGTATAGAATTTCATAAGTTGACCTCTGTGACCCTTGACCTTTGACCTACGTGCTCCAAAATCTAATCAGATCGTCTTCCTATGGTGATACATACTATCCTTAAGTTTGAAGTTTAAATCTCAAATGGTTCTTGAGATATCATGATAACAATCTCAATGTATGGAATTTCATAAGTTGACCTCTGTGACCCTTGACCTTTGACATACGTGCTCCAAAATCTAATCAGATTGTTTTCCTATAGTGATACACACTATCACTAAGTTTGAAGTTTAAATCTCCAGTGGTTCTTGAGATATCATGATAACAATCTCAATGTATGGAATTTCATAAGTTGACCTCTGTGACCCTTGACCTTTGACATACGTGCTCCAAAATCTAATCAGATCGTCTTCCTATGGTGATACATACTATCCTTAAGTTTGAAGTTTAAATCTCAAATGGTTCTTGAGATATCGCGCTAACAAACTCAATACAAGGAATTTCATAAGTTGACCTCTGTGACCTGTGACCTTTGACCTACGTACTCCAAAATCTAATCAGATCGTCTTCCTATGGTGATAAATACTATTCCCGAGTCTTAAGTTTAAATCTTAAATGGTTCTTGAGATATTGTGATAACGGTCAAACGGGACGGACGGACGGACGTACGGACGGACGTACGGACGGACGGACGTACGGACGGACGTACGGTACTACTCACGACAGTATGCTTGTGAGATTTTTGTCTTGTGTGTCTGAAAAAAAGGGGTATCTTGTGTGTCTTTTCATTTTTTCCTTCTAAAGACTACTTGTGTGTCTTAATTCCCAACTTCTTGTGTGTTTGTCTAAAATTAAATGAAAATGCATCTTGTGTGTTTTTTAATACAATATGTGTTGAGACTGGTTTTTAAAATTAAAATTAAGGCTTGTATGCCCAAAAGACATTATTGTCTACCTCTATCCAAGTCAGGAAAATTAAGGCTTGTGTCCCGCAAAAACACATCATTTACCCGCCTAAGTCGTGAAAATTGAGGCTTGTGTGGCAGAAAAGACGATCAGCTACCCTGTCCAAGACAAGAAAATTAAGGCTTGTGTGCCTAAAAAACTTGATGTCCAAAAAGTATACAACTATTTATTTGTGACTTTTGAATGACCAAAAAATTGATTTATCTTTTTTCCTCATTGAATAGAAACATCACACACATATAATACAGGTAATGCAATAATATTCCAATGCTGTGGAGGAACCAATGAAAAGCCAAGGAGCTTGTCATGGCAGAAAGACATTATTATCTACCCCTGTCCAAGTCAAGAAAATTAAGGCTTGTGTGGCATAAAAAACATTACATGTATTATATACCTCTGTCCAAGTCATGAAAATTAAGGCTTGTGTGGCAGAAAGACATTACATGTATTATATACCCCTGTCCAAGTCAAGAAAATTAAGGCTTGTGTGGCAGTAAGACATTATTGTCTACCCCTGTCCAAGTCAAGAAAATTAAGGCTTGTGTGGCAGAAAAACATTACATGTATTATATACCTCTGTCCAAGTCATGAAAATTAAGGCTTGTGTGGCAATAAGACATTATTGTCTACCCCTGTCCAAGTCAAGAAAATTAGGGCTTGTGTGGCAGAAAGACATTACATGTATTATATACCTCTGTCCAAGTCATGGATATTAAGGCTTGTGTGGCAGTAAGACATTATTGTCTACCCCTGTCCAAGTCAAGAAAACGAGGGCTTGTATGGCAGAAAGACATTACATGTATTATATACCTCTGTCCAAGTAATGAAAATAAAGGCTTGTGTGGCAGAAAGACATTACATGTATTATATACCTCTGTCCAAGTCAAGAAAATTAAGGCTTCTGTGGAAAAAAAAAAACATTACATGTCTGCATTTAAAGTGAATTTTGATGTGGAATTGGGAAATCTTAATGAATTTTGATATTTGGAATCTCAAAGTTTGTGAATTTCAAAGTTTAAATTCATCCAATGTACAGAAAGCCAGTACAGAAAGCCAGTTCTGTGGCATAAAAAAAACATTACATGTATTATATACCTCTGTCCAAGTTATGAAAATTAAGGCTTGTGTGGCAGAAAGACATTACATGTATTATATACCCCTGTCCAAGTCAAGAAAATTAAGGCTTGTGTGGCAGTAAGACATTATTGTCTACCCCTGTCCAAGTCAAGAAAATTAAGGCTTGTGTGGCAGAAAAACATTACATGTATTATATACCCCTGTCCAAGTCAAGAAAATTAAGGCTTGTGTGGCAGAAAGACATTACATGTATTATATACCTCTGTCCAAGTCATGAAAATTAAGGCTTGTGTGGCAGTAAGACATTATTGTCTACCCCTGTCCAAGTCAAGAAAATGAGGGCTTGTGTGGCAGAAAAACATTACATGTATTATATACCTCTGTCCAAGTCATGAAAATTAAGGCTTGTGTGGCAGTAAGACATTATTGTCTACCCCTGTCCAAGTCAAGAAAATGAGGGCTTGTGTGGCAGAAAGACATTACATGTATTATATACCTCTGTCCAAGTCATGAAAATTAAGGCTTGTGTGGCAGAAAAACATTACATTATATACCTCTGTCCAAGTCATGAAAATTAAGGCTTGTGTGGCAGTAAGACTTTACAGCACTGGCTTTCTGTACATTGGATGAATTTAAACTTTGAAATTCACAAACTTTGAGATTCCAAATATCAAAATTCATTAAGATTTCCCAATTCCACATCAAAATTCACTTTAAATGCAGATATCCATTAAAATTCTCAAAATCACTTTGCCGATGGATTTTCAAAGAGGAGTATTGACAAAAAGAATATGTCACGTAACTATGAAGAATTTTTATTTCTTCAGAGGCAAAGTTGAGTATTTCATTATTTGCTAATGGAATACGTTTTACACATATCTGGAACTTTAAAGGTACTATGTCCCATTTGCAGGCCCCAAAAATGAAAAGGTTAAATTCCAACAGCATTTGAAAGACAATATTAATTTAGAACTTTCCGAAAAAAAGGGGGCTTGAAAATGTCTTTAAGTGGGAAAATAACGACTATTAGTTGTCAAATCGACTTAGGAGCTATAGAGCCAATAAGTAATGGTCTTGATTTTCAGACCATTGTACAGCATGGTCGTACGTTTTATGCTGCACAAAGATTCAATCAGTTTAATTTTGGCCATCACAAGAAGTGAGTTATTGATGTAGACGAATCCTTTACAGCTCATTTTATGTACGTTATTACCAAAGAAGACAAAAAGCCAGTCAGTCACTCAATACTGACAATAGTGTCTGACAGTGAAGTCTAGCAAGTAGACGGTTTCCTTGCATAATTTGAATATTAGGACACTGCTAACGTTTAAATTTCACAGATAGGACATACATGACATATTCATAATTCCTGCAAAGTTCTACAGAATTTGAGGTTGGCTGCAAAAGGGACATAGTACCTTTAAGTTAAGAAAAGAAAAGCTGTGGTCATCAATGGCAAGCTATCACCTGAGACCACCCTTAGCTACGGAGTTCCGCAAGGCTCTGTCCTCGGTCCCTTGCTCTTCACACTCTACATCACCCCTCTTGGCTCTATCATACAGCGACATGGTCTTAGCGCACATTTCTATGCAGACGACAACTAAAAGATGAAGTTGAGTTCTGGTTTTGCGATTGCATTGTGAAAGAAACGGTGTGGAATCGACCAGAAAAGGTTGATCATCTAGCATATAAGAATTTGTGTGTATTGCAAGGTTCTGGAATCATCAAAATGATAAGAAATTTGGCCAAGTCTTGGTAAAGTTACAAACACTGTACACAGAAAGATGTATATGGGACTACACAACCACGTGGCGTAAAAAGGCTATTCCCCCGAGTTTTACGATGTTACATGACATATTTAGAATATGAAGGCATTTGAAGAGCCATGCTTTTTAAGGGAACATGTCTTATCTGATGTTCTTCCACACTTGCATAATAGGAATGATAACGCTCACAAATTATTTTTCACCTCTTCCCAGAACTCAACCTTCTCTTTAAGAGCTATAGAGCCAGTAATTAATAATCTGATTTCAGACCACTGTACTGCAGGGTCAATGTCGCTATTCATAAGGACCGCTATTCATAAGGTTTGCTATTCATAAGGTCCGCTAATCATAAGGACCGCTATTCATAAGGTCCGCTTTTCATAATTGGAGAAAAGGGTCATTATTCATAAGGGTCATTATTCATAAGGACCGCTATTCATAATGAAAGAAGAGGGTCGGTATTCATAATATTAGAAGAGGGTCGCTATTCATAATACGAAATCGGGGTCGTTATTCATGAGGGTCCCTATTCATAATATTACAAAAGGGTCGGTATTCATAACACAGAAAGAGGGTCGCTATTTATGATACGA